AGGGTCCGCGCATTGATTTTATCTGTAGCAAGCTTGGTGCATATGACTTATATGCTCCAACTTGAGGGGAAGTGTTGAAGTGTATAATCCTATATTAGGATATTAGGATTGTAATCAATATATATTAAGAACAAGATCTATAAAATAGGAAGTTAGATTATTCATTTCCTAGATTAGATCATTTGTTTACCAGATTAGTTCTTTATTTTCCTATATATTGATGTATTATCTTCTGATCATTATAAAGGAGATACAGTTCTCTCTGATTTTTCACAATTATTTTATAATTTCTTGCTCTAATGGTTTTCTTATAAATATCTGGATAATCCATAAGTTTTATTCATTCAAGTTTTCAGTACTAATCACCAGGTTAGAAAGACATCTAGATTCTGTTGAGTCAGGTTGTTTATTACACCTTCCATTCCATCTTAATTCTTACAGGTTTGTGTCAACATGGGCGCCTGGTTAAAATTGAATGAGGACCTTTTGATTCAAATTATCAAGCAGCTAACTTTGTACGAGGATCTCTCTGCTTTCGGTTTGGTTTGTACTTCATGGCTATCTGTTGCAGTTATGGAGAAGCTTAGATTTATATCTAAACTTACACCATGGCTGATTCTATCACCGGACAAGCCCACCACTTACCGATAAGGTTTTTACAGTTTCTCAAAGAATATGACTCACCAAGTTATGTTACTAGAAGCAGAAGGCAAGTGCTTCTCTTCTCGAAGTTGGATACTAACACTCTCCAAACCTTGGCATATGGTTCTTTTGCATCCCTTTTCACGACGTTAAATTAAATTGCTGAACATGACCACTAAAAAATGTTTTGAGTCGAATCGAGGTCACCCAACCCGGTTCACTAAAACCTACCCAAATTTACCCATTTTGCATAGAGAAAGTGAAGAGGAAGATATGTTGCCCATTTTGCATGATAATAATAATACAAATGGGAGATATAGATATTGACATTGATCTTGGAAATGATATGAATGGTTGAGAGAAAATGATATAGATTCTTAATTTTGTGATTAATTTTGATTATGTAATACCATAATTTAAAGTCAATAATACCACAAAATTTGTTAATTAATCTTGGGGATGACATTACTTTTTAGAAAAATTTTATTAATTTTTTTATTTTTTATTTTTGAAAAAGGCGTATCCTATAATACGAAGCGATATATGATTCAAAAAATTAGGTTTTCGATACACGATACATTATTTGATTTGACAACCATGGTTTATGTCATAAAAGAAAATGGCCAAATGATGGTGTGTGATTTCATAAATGAAATGGTAGAATAAGTTGCACAAATGCCATCTGATACTGAGATATTCTAAAGAACTGTCTATATGGTCTTCTGATTTAGGAAACAAAAGTGTATCTTATTACAAACAAAATCCCTTATATTAGTAGGATTTTATCAAGTGAAAATCAAATATATACTTGACTTATGTAGGTCGTCTTCTTTAATCAATGTGTTACAATTTTCATCTATAAGTGTCAACAATATGGGCGACTAATATGATATATTATGATTTTTATTTTCATTTGTTTTGTTTTTATCATATGCTTTTCTATTTTTGAATTTCGATTTCTAAACCTACTTATCTAGCTTTTTTATTCTTTTACATTTAGAAGGGCCTATTAATAAATATATATCTAGAAGCAACGTAAAATAAGTAAAATTGGATCTCTGCATATATGGTTTGATAATCTAATAAATTAAAACGTTAGACCATAAACCATATGGAATAAATCCAAAAATTCCACCCAAAACTATATTTTGAGTGTGCCCCAGTCCCCAAGTAGGGATGGGTGCGGGCCAAGGATTGGGGTCGCCAAACCCGTACTTGACTCCTTGGGGGTTCGCCCATCCCCAAGACAAGGGGGCTGGGGAATCCCCAACCCCACCCCGTGGGTATGAGATGTTGACCCAACTCGGAGGTTAGGAAATGGCAAATATTAATCCCCATGGGGGTTTCCCCCCGACAAGGATAATCTCAACGGGGGAATTTTTCCCGAATGACTTATGAATTATTGTTAACTTTTTTTTTTTTTTTTAAATATTGATTTTGTACAATTTTTTAGTAATAACTCTAGACAGTAAAATGAAAACTCATTGAAATATATGAATAAAATTTTGATATGAAAATAAATGTAACATAAGTTCAACTACTGGTTTACATTACATAATGGACTTACTGGTCTCTTCCATGTTCCATCTTGTGCAGTTGTGCTTGTCTGAATTAATATTGTCAGTAGAAAACATGGGCCTGCAAAGCAAGTTTGATTTAATTACCTTAGTTTATGTAATAGTGCCATAAATTTACAAATTACAAATCTTTAAGGGATTAATTAATTATTTAATAAAATTGTAATTAATTACTTAATTACAATGTGATTAGATTATTAAGTAATTAAATTGTATTGAATTAACTGACCAAATTTTAAAATATTATATAGAATATCAATATTAAATTTCAGGGCAGGTCGGGGACGACATAGGTCAAAGTTTTATGGGGCTTATGGGGGCGGGGCAGGTCCCGTCGGGGCAAGCTAGCCCCCATACCCGCCCTATCCCCAGATGTGGGGGTTTTTTTTGTCCATCCTCGACCCATCAACCAGTGAAATCTGAGGAATCCTCGGCCCAATCGGGATGTGTCGGGGTGGATCCTCATTGGGGCGGGCAAAATGCCCATCTCTACCCCCAAGCATATCTACATTTAATTGGGAATTTTTGTTGCAATTAATTTATTTTTTTAATCCTTAATTTGGACATTCTTATTTCTATTTCAAAGTTGTTAGGCCCATTTGAGACAGGGTTAGGCCCATCTGACAGAGGGCTAGGCCCATTTAGCTTGTGATACCCGTAGAAAAAATTAATCTACCATCTACTAAACATTAAATATTAAATAAATAATAAATGGAATACTAAGTAAGTCTTATACTACAAAAGATGGGATATACAGTATTTTGGCAAACGTAACAATTAAAACATATTGAAAATTTTCATTTTTGAAATTTATTTTTAATTATAAATCAAATGCTTCTGAGAATTATTTCAATTTTTTTAACATAGGTTTTTTAATTGATTTTCCCAGAATTGGCAAATTAAAGCAGGTGGCAACGTGTATTTATACTAGTGGCTGATTAAATTAGGATAAAATGTTTAAAAAAAATCGTAAAATTGCGAGCCGATAGTTCAATCCGTTGGTTAGTTGTTAGTAAATTCAAATATAAATAAAAAAACAAAAGGAAAAAAGGAAAACGAGGGTGCACTCGGTTCATTATTCTTAAAATCTTTAGAATAACACTTTGAAAAAGGTAAAATTGGGTGGTTATTAGGGTGTAAAACTTAGAAATTAACAAAAATACTTCATATGTTTGTTTATTTACTAAACACCCCTATAATAAAATATTAAAAATTAACAAAAACATCTCCACACACCTATTAAATATCGACAACAAGCCACCACCATCGGAGGATAGCCGAAGTCGCCTTATCGGCACACGAACGGTTGGATCTGGTCGGTCGTGCGCCAATATGACTTCTCTCTAGCCAAATTCACGGTAGATCTAGCCAGAAAATGCTAGATCTATGAAGTGATTTGGCCATTAACGGCTTGATCTGGCCGCATTTGGTCGTCAATGACAGCCATATCTTGGCCGTCGTTGACGACTGGCTACAGCCAAAGATCTAGCCGTCAACGGCTAAATCTTTGGCCGTAGATCTAGTCGAAAAATACTAGATCGGTGCACTACCGGTCAAAACCTACCGGTAGTGTGCTATTATACCAGATTCTGGCCAGCTTTTAGCGGTGGTGGCCAGAATCTGACAAATGTGGGTTGTTAGGGTGTTTTTATCAATTTCTAAAAAAAAAAATTGAGGGGTGTTTAGTTAAATTAACAAATTTAAAAGGTTTAAAAGAATTGAATAATATAGAATAATATTTTAAGAATAAGGAAATAAAAGTGTATTTTGGATAGAATATGGAATAGAATACTGAAATCTTGTGTACCTAAGGGCCCGAAGTTAAAAATAACAAAACAAAAACACAAGGCGAGAACCCACCCCAAAGTGAGTGGGATGGGACCAAAACTAAAAATACAATTAAACTGAACAAATAATATTATGTTCACAACCTAATCTCACAATCTCGACGTAGCAATTCATTATTGGTCAGCTCGTAAAATGGGTTCTGTTTGTTTGTAGGGATCTCACCTACCTATTTGCAAACTAATCAATGACGAACTGCCAATTTAGGAGTTGTGAGAAAAAGTTGTAAATTTAGGTTACGGACATGACATTATTGAAACTAAAAACATTTTTTGTTATTTTCAAAAAACAACACTAACAAAATCCGAACCCAACCCCCTCGTGCATGTCCATAATAATTTTTTTTTATTATGGAAGTGTGTTAGAATAAATTTTTTATTTTTTATTTTTATCTTTTTGGGTAACAAGTTTTTTGTTTATTAAGTATAGTTTTTGAATTAATTGTAACCGTTAGATGGTAAAATTGTCATGTGTCTTTATATCCATGAAAAATTATGTAAAATTAGATTATATAGTAAATGTATTTAAAGATAATTAACTAATTAATTCTTTCATCTTATTTTTACAATTTCTATAATTTTCAATACAAAAATAATTAAAAAAAATATTATATCAAACATATTTTCAAATATTGAAATATTAGTTTATTTTAACTTTGGCACGTAAGAGGTGCATGCATGAATTAGCATAGGCAAGCAACAGTTTAAATCCGGATTTTAGTTATGAACACGAAAATTCCTTTTTTACCCTTAAATAGTGGCACGTTTTGGGGTGTTTTCTGAAACTTTTTAAAAGTGGAGGGATGATTAAGATCTAAATCTAATTTCTTTTAAGCCCGGGAAGAATCATATTCAAAGAAACAAGTCCACTAGAGAGTGGGCCACCGTCAGTCCATTGTTAGAATAAAGGAGAATTCTTCTTTCATCTCGACTCTTCCTTCCCATTCAATTGCTTTCAGAATTTATTCGCAAATGGATTCTTCAAAAATCTCTGACTTAAGACACTTCGTTCATCTCTGTAAATCAAACCCTTCTCTTCTCCACCATCCCTCTCTTGCTTTCTTCAAGTCTTATCTCGACAGGTTTTTTTTTTTTTTTTTTTTTAAATTTTTTTTCCAGCTTCAAATCTTTGCTTAATACTTGCTTGTTTTCTTTCGTCTATTTATTTATTTGTTCGGTTTTCAATCTTTCAGCTTGGGCGCTGAAATCCCACCGACCACGGAATCGGTGAGACAATTTTTTTTTTTTAATTTTTTTGTAGTTTCAAGAGTTTAAGCAGCTCAAATTGGCTTTAATTTTATTTATTATTGTGTTAAGTAATTTATGGTTTATTTTTGTGTGGTGGAATTTAGTTTATAATGGACCCAGTTTGCTATGCTGGTTGTAGTGCGTTCATATCAAAGAAAGAAAGTGGAAATCTTAGAGGGTTGGAGGTTTTGATCAAAGGAAGAATTTAGGGCCTAAGAAAAGGGGTTTAGAAAAAAAAAAAAAAAAAAAAAAAAAAAAAAAAAAAAAAACCTATTTCGTTAAAATGATTTCTGTATAGTTTTCGGACACAGTTTTAAACTAGTGTAAAATTAGAGAATTAGATGGAAAAAGGGTTTTTTATTTGTTCTTTTGTCTGATTTTAGTAGCTTAAAGGGTTTTTTATTTGTTTAGTAGTGTGTTCATATCAAAGAAAGAAGAAATCTTAGAGGGTGGGAAAGTTTTGATCAAAGGAAGAATTTAGAGCCCAAGTAAAGGGGTCCAAGATTTTTTTTTTTTTTTTTTGAAAAAAGAAACTCATTTGGTTGAAATGATTCCCGTATGGTTTTCGGATACAGTTTTAAACTAGTGTAAAATTAGAGAATTAAATAAAAAAGGTTTCTTATTTATTCTTTTGTATGATTTTCATAAGTTAAATGACTCGATTTCCTGCCTTAAGTTGAGGTGTAAGTTTTGTTTTTCTATTTGAACCTTATTTTAAAAGGGGTTTCAAGCATGATTAGGTTTGATTTCTTGAGCATATTCTTGCATATGGGAAAATGATTTCTATTTATCTCCCATAATGTGCTGTGTTTAGCAGTTTCATAAATTCTTGGCAATATGTGCTACATGTTTGAATGGATAAGTCAACTGATTGATTCAGTTAGGGTACATCACTTGCATACCTTTGCAAAATACTGTACCCTTCTGGTGCAGTCTTAAAAATCCATTAAATTTGGGCTAAAATACTGGCACCCTTTTGGTGCAGTCTTAAAAATACATTAAATTTGGGCTATTCTCTTTTCAGCTAAAATTTGTTTAGGCAGTTCATTATGCTTGATCTTATGCCTTTGTATATTCTAATAACAGAAAGAGGATAAAAGTGGTGTCGACATGTCAGACCCTGGGGAGCATTTTGATGCCAAGAAGTCCAATTTAACTAGTGAAGATGATGATGAAATTGTCGAATCGGATATTGAGTTGGATAATACAGATATTGTTGAGCCTGACAATGATCCTCCTCAAAAGGTGGGCTTAGATAGAGTTGGACGTGAATCTATTAATACCTGTCATATATCTATTTTGGTTTGGTCCAAAGGCCTGTGATAGGCATCTAAATTGAAATACTACACTTTGTGTCTTTTAACATAGATGGGAGATCCGTCAGTTGAAGTTACTGAAGAAATGCGTGACGCTGCAAATGCAGCGAAACTAAAAGCTATGGATTCAATCTCTGAAGGCATGGCATTATCTTATTGTGTTTAAACTGTTTTAACTAATCTCCTCCCTAGTATTTCTTGACAAACTTTTCTAGCTTTTCAGGTAAACCGGATGAAGCCATTGATCAATTAACAGAAGCAATAATGTTGAATCCTACTTCAGCCATTTTATATGCAGCTCGAGGTATTATTGATTTGCATCATTCTTGTGCTTGCTGATTTTTCTTTGTATCTGCCCTAATTTGACATGCTTGTTTTCAGCTGGTGTCTTCATTAAGTTGAACAAACCAAATGCTGCAGTCCGTGATGCTAATGAAGCTTTACAGGTAGATATGTCCCTTCATCTGTACTTGTATAGACTGCCAAAGAAGTGTTAATTATAATTGGTTATGAAGTATCTGCATATGTATTTATCTTGGAGTGAGCAAGATAACCTAACTTTCTGCATTTACATGCTCTAGATTAACCCTGATTCAGCAAAAGGATATAAAGTGCGTGGAATGGCAAGGGCAATGTTGGGCCAGTGGGAAGAAGCAACAAATGATCTGCACGTTGCATCAAAGTTAGATTATGATGAAGAGATTGGTTCAGTGCTCAAAAAGGTGATAAGCCTTATATGGTTCTTGCTATAGAAACTGTTTCTTAATATCGCATTATTCAAGTAAAATCCACTGTGGGTTGTTTCAATAAGGGTTTTTGACACGATTTTTATTGATTTTTAGCAGTTGACCTTTTTGTGACTCATCTAAACATTTACTTTTATGTATTCATTTATATAAAACAACCGCATTGGATTCCATAGGTTGAACCTAATGTTCGTAAATTGCAAGAGCATCGAAGAAAATATGAAAAATTGCGGAAAGAAAAGGATCTAAAAAAAGCTGAACGTGAGAAGCAAAAACGACAAGCTGAAGCTGTAAGTGGCATTAACCTTATTTCACTATTATCTGACTTTTTTTTTTTTTTTTTTTTTTTTAAATATCCAGAAGCAATGTAATCATCTTGATGTTATTTTGTTGCCATGAAGCATAGATTATTTTTTTTTTGCCCATAGGTTTTTTTCCATTTGCAATATTGATACATAGTAACAAAATGAACTTCCTTAGAACAATAAGACTCACGCACTCTAGCATTTTTGAATAACCTAGAAATTCCCTGGACCAGTTTACTTGAGTCAGTATCTACAAACAACCCCACCTCCCACCCCCCCTTCTCTCTTCTCTATCTCCCCATGAAGGGAGCTGGTTACTTGTGGCTTTTGGCTTAGTAGATGACTGGTGTCCTTGTGGGAGTGAACAACAGACATGATTATTCAACTAGATCCTGAGGGTTTATTTTTGGTGTTCTTAAAGTGGGAAGTTTTGACCAAGGGCTATTTCATAAAAAACAACCAATTTTAGATCATATTTAATGTTTACCTAGCTGAGTTGTCATTTGAGTCCATCGTTTATCTTGTCGTTAGTTAGGATATGGTCATTAACGAGGAGATTGATCTGAATCCAGTTTTTTCTTTACTTTTTTTCTATATGGGGTTGTGGGTATTCTGATTTCTCAACAATTGGATAATTGCTCCTCTCCTAATTTCCTTGTGTTGCTATGTTATGTTCTTTTATAGGAGCATGAAAACATCTATTCTGATGCTTATAAACTTTTCAATTTTATGCAGGAACGGGAAGCTTTGTCTGCGTTAAAGGAGGGTATGGCTTCTGATTTCTTTTCAATTTGTGTTTCATATGATATATATAGGTCTTCACCTTTAATCAAGCTCATCTAGAAGAGAATAGTTTTGATAAATTGAGGCTATGCATCCTTCATTTCTATAATAATGTGGGGATGGCATTGATTTGATAACTAATACTTTCAGTACAGAGATATTTATGTAGTAAACATTTGGTCTGGCCTTCACTTATCCAATTCATAGCTATATGCATCACTTGTTTGACATTCAATAAACATATATGCATGTTTTGCACTTTGCTGCATTTCTTTACTAAAGATGTAGTATTGAACAAAGGCAATTGGTTTTGAGGTGTTATGATAGTTTATTTTGTCACATGTTGCTGTATATATTATAAACGTAGCTGAAAAGGATAGATATGTGAATGCATGTATTGTTTCTCCAGGATCAATGGATAGGTTAAGCAATTTCTATGGATAGTTTCTAGTTATATATGACTTACCAATACTTTTCCAACCTTATGGGAGGCTAATAGAGTTCACCTAATGGGCATATCAAGAATTTTCCCGAATCAGTCAAGCTTTAGTGGTTAACAGCCTTGAGGGGGGCTCCTATTCAGTAACCTTTCGGTGCAATTGATTCTTTGTCATTGCAAATTAACCCTAAACATTCATGTCAATGTTACTGATCATAACTTTCTTCGTTCTGGAATTTCTTGATGCACCATTATAAGCTTTTGATCCTGTATAAATACAGGGTTCTATTGTTCTTGTTTTTATTTATTTCTAGACACTTATCCTCTGTCATGATTGTCATGTTTCTTTTGTTCTTTTGTTTTTTCAATTTTAATTTTTTAATAGCAGCCTTTGGCTTAATTTTTAAAGTAAGCCTCTTTGGGAAGAGAAAGAATTATTTTACTGTGTTTCTGACATTTGTAATCATCAAATCTCTCATACAGGAGTCCAAGCTTAAGGCTTGTAGTTGTTTGATGGTTTTTTTATTAGCCATTGATATGCAAAGTTGGTTGATATGTTACTGTTAGTAGCGTTTATAGAGCATGTTTTCGTGTTAATTATCTTATTATGGTTTTTGCGATTAATAGGGGACGTTATGGCTATTCACTCCATTGGTGAACTAGAAACTAAGATGAATGCTGCTACGAGAACATCTCGTCTGGCAATCATGTATTTTACTGCAACATGGTGTGGGCCCTGCCGTTTCATTTCTCCAGTTTACACAAGTTTTGCCTCAAAGTATCCGAAAGTTGTTTTCTTGAAAGTTGACATAGACGAGGCTCGGGATGTGGCTGCAAAATGGAATATAAGCAGTGTTCCAACCTTCTTTTTCATAAAGAACGGCAAAGAAGTTGACACGTTAGTTGGCACTGATAAAAGTGCCCTTGAAAAGAAGATTGCACAGCATGCAGGCCAGTAGTTAAAGTCCTGATAGGAGCAACTTCTGTTTGAGATTTCCCATGAGAGAAACGTCCGGGAATTTAACCTGTCTCAACAAATTAATTTGCTCAAGAGGTGTCCCCATCAAAGCTTTAGTTGTTTATCAAGCACGAGAATGTTTTTAAAGCAAGAGTAGGTATTTATCTAGCTTTTGGTCAGTATGAACTTTTGGTCTAATTTGCATGTAAAACTCCATATGAACAATCGCCAATTATTTATTAGTGCGATCAAGAGTTACTTTCAATGTAAATGAACAAAAAGGCCTTGTTGTTGATGTTGATGTTCCTTTTATTTTCAATATCCTTGTAGACCAAAGCAAAGAAATGAGAAAAAGTCTATGTTGTATTAGCTAAAACCTGAAAGTTGTAACTTGAAGTGGTGATGATTATTTTCTCTCATTCTTGGAGTAAAATCTCAAAACCACATAGAAAAGTAATCTGTAGAGAACTCCCCAAGCTAGCAAGATAACGACATCATACCAAAGGTTGTCCCACTGAAAATCCAAGGAGGATATCACATCTTCTCCAATGAAACAATTTGCTTTGATTTTGTAATGCAGGTTGCTTAACTTCAGCTCTCCGAGAGGTCCTGGAGAAAGGTCAGCAATGGACCCGGTATAGCATTGGTCGCCTTTGAACTCATTCACAAGCAACGCCTCAAAGGGATACTTAATTGCAGAGACGTAATGGAGCCACCTCCACCAAATAGGTATGTGCTCTCTCTTCAGAAAGAACCCGCAGGTTAGAAAGAAAAGAGCTGTTGTTGCAATCACAACTGCATAGCCTGTGATGTAACTTGGAACAAGTGCACTCACAAGCATCACATAAGCATTTGTGGTAACGAGAGATGCATACAGGATTATCCAGAAGATAATGAGACTGCTGTTGAGTTTTAGCAGGTATTTGGTAATGACCGCAAATGTGAAACCTTGAATGGCAAAGAATGGGAGATAAACCAGCAGTGAAGAAATGACATAAGATGAAGCACGATAGGCGTTGTGGGAGCTTTCTCTCATGAAGATGAATCTTTCTTGAATGAAAGTTGGGACGGCATCATTGGAAGAGAAGAAAATCAAACACACTGCAAAGATGTAGAAATTGAGAAGCCTATTGATTGTTTTGAAGTCGTGGTGATCAAGACGTCTGAAAAGTGAAGACAGAATGAGTGCCATTACTGTCAAGACGATTTCCCTGGAAAGAAAGAGCTCAGGAGTGCGAATTACATTGAGTGCAGTGCGCCAGGAGAGAACAGCAACCTCCCGGAGCCATGGATTTGCATATTTGGGACCATGCTCAGGCTCATCAAGAACTTCTTCTTCAAACTCAAAGTCTTCATAAGAACTTGCATAAGGATCCGGAGATGGACTAAAAACTACAGGAGTTTTTGGGCGAGAAGGGTTATGCTGAGGAATTGAGTATTGGCTTGAAACAAAACTCATACCACCAGACATTGGAGTTTTTGCTGGAGTTCGTCCTGGAGTTCTTGCAGGAGTCCAGGACGGCGGGCGACGAGGAGTTCCTACGACACCATTGTACAGCCAGACTGAGAAATCTTTGTAAAAATGAGAAGCCAAACGTTGATTATAGACACCACTTGGCATAGTCATTGGTGTAACAATCGACTTGCGTTCCAGGGAATTGTCAAACTCCTCATCATCATCCTCATTATCATAACCGGATTGTCCTGAGTCTGCTCGAGGTGTTCCACTTCCTGAGAATGCTTGGCTACGGAGACTGATGGCATATTTGGATCCAGGTGTTCTCGAGTAAGGAGTTCGCGGTGTTTTTGGTGTTTTTGCAACGGGGGTTCTCGTGGCTTGATCAGGTTTGATTCCATCACGCTGGTAGAGCACAAGTGGCTCAAGTCCCAGATTGGATTCATCATACTCTTTGATCACATCGAGAAGGTACTCCAGGCTGTTTTCTCCATCAGGAACTGACCTTCCGAAACCTGAGAGATGGGCAGGAAGAGCAACTGGACTTCCCATGTATATCAGTCTGCCCCTGTTAACCCAAAGATTTTGACAGATTTCAAGCATCAATAACGTGCAATAAGTCAAAAGACAAAACTATGCAAACTCCTGGAGCAAGATGGAAGCCAAAATCTTGTCTTTTTAGCAGATTTCTCGCACCAGAAAACGAGAATTGGATTTTAAAGTGTTCAAGACATCTGAATCTAAGAACTTTTGTAGATAATCATGTACGACATACCTTGCTAGAACTGTGATGCGATCGAGAAGCATTTGAATTCTGTAAGAAGGCTGGTGAATGGTCATGAGGACAATGCTACCTCCTCTTGCAATGTCTTTAACCTTTTCCACAACACTATAAGCACTTGTAGAGTCAAGACCTGAAGTGGGTTCATCAAGGAACAACAAAGATGGCTTATGGATAATGTCAATTCCTATGGAAACCCTTCTTCTCTCTCCTCCTGACACTCCTCTTCTTCCCTCATCTCCAATATATGTATGTGATGCACTCTGCATATACAGCATGTACAAAGTCAAACTATTAATTGAGGTTTTGAGTATATATGTATTGTCATCCTCTTTTGCAGATGTTTCTTAAAGTTCACTTAAGAAAAATGATACGTGTATAACTTTTTCTCACAAACTTTCTTTTACAACTCCGACATGATAGCTCGACATTGATTAGCTCGTCATTGATTAGCTCGCAGATGGATAGACGGGACTCATTTTGCAAGTTGACCATTGACAAACTGTTACGTCAAGTTGTGGGAGAATAAGAGTTTGACTCAGAGCCCGCCCTCCTGACTCGAACCTGAGTTAGGACTCAGAAGTACCACTTAAGCTAGTAAACTCACTTGACTAAAGAAGATAAAACTATTAATTTAGGTTTTGAGTATATATGATTGATTTTTACCTGCAAACCCAGTTGGTCAAGCAGCTCATAAACTCTCTTTTTCTTCTCATCCGTGGAAATGGAAGAAGAAAGCCTAACTTCAGCAGCAAACATGAAGGTTTCAAACACAGTGAGCATGGGAAACAGCTGGTCATCTTGCATAACATAAGATGAAATCATCTTCATGTAGCTAGTAGTCACCTGCAAACCAAATCAAAACACTCTTTACAGGATCTGAAAATACGTTCATTATCATTTTCTGAAAACACAAGTATCGAAACACGTTTGATATCGTTTGAAACAGGTTATAAGATCGAATTACAGAAAGAAAACAGAGAAAACGAAAACGATAGCGAAGACAACGGAAAAAAAAACCAAACTAACTAACCGGCTTTCCATCAATTCTGACAGACCCTTCAAGGCTTCCCTGAGCAATTCGACCAGCCAAAGCATCAATAAAAGTTGATTTTCCAGCTCCACTCGGCCCCATAATTGCCATGATTTCTCCCCTCACAGCCTGCCCGGAAATTTCATTCAAAAGATAAGCTTCTTTTGTGATCCAAACACCATCTTTCTTCTGCTTTTTTAGGACACTGTAAGACAAATTCTTGAACTCTAGGCCATGCCCCGGAATAATTTTCTGCGGAGCAACGGCAGCAGGGACTGCATTTTTTGAGTTGTCCAAGTCCAGGAGAGTCTCCAGGTTTCTGTTCCTGTCGGTTTGCCCGAGTTTCGCCATGGCCTGGCCTTCGAAGTTTTCGGGAAACTAATTAAATCAAATTTCCTATTAGCAGTGAAGTTATAAAAAGAGAATGTTATTTGAGGTGACGATTTTGGCAAGACTAAAGTTTGTTTCTTTTGGCTTTGGTTTTGTCGTTAAATTTGCTTTGATAATTCCGGGAGAGAACTTCAGGTTTTGTTTCATTATGCAGTAAGAGTTTCAGGTTTTGTCTTCTTCCGCTCATGGCAATACATTTCAAGGACTTATTTTGATATAGAAAACTTCATTATATATGTTACGGCATCTACAATCTTACCGAAAATAAACATTAAAAAGCTACTGATATTCCAACAAGTCGTGAGTTTAAGATTGTTATGCCTAGAAAAGTAGGTTGACGCAAGAGCCCTGTCAGCGCGAATGGTCAAACCTCGGGAAGGTCATGCTGACATGCAGGCGCAGCCACGTCGCGTGATGATATAGGTAGGACACTCCTGTCAGTGCAGTGGGTGCGTGCCAGACTGAAGAAAGGCTGGAAGATGTCCACGTGTCCAATGCCTTTACCAAAATCGCGTAAATCGCTGTGGAAGGTAGACAATGGGACGTAAAGAAAGATTTGTACGGATAATCCCACTAACTCACAGATTCAGTAATGATAACCTTAATCTATCCCACTATAAATTGAGAGTTCCTTTCTCAATTTGGGGATTAGCTAATCTCTCTAAAAAATAGCATACACGCTCTCTTGTGTAATCATTTGTAAAGTCAGCTCATTGAGCGCGACCTAGTTGCTGTCATTAATACAATATCAGTGGACGTAGGACTTATTTCCTTAAAGCATCCGAACCACTTTAAACACTTTTCTCCATTACTTCTACTCTCCATTCTTTCATCCACGTGTGTCTTTTGGGCCAGCTCAGTATTTCACACGTTCGTTTGGTTGGTGTCAAAATCACGCATCAACAAAGATTTTTCACAATCTTAACAATTTCTACATACAGAGTTGGAATGTTCGGATGGCAAACCCTTTAGCTATTAGGGTTAACTATATTGGTGGGTCTTGTGTTTAAATCACATGAGAAGTAACTATTATATATGTACAATTATTTGTGGCAAAAAAAAGTAAGTTCGTGAATCTGACGTTGAAATTGAAGAAAGCAAACTTGAAATTCTATGCACATGGGCGGCATTGGTGTAGTGTTTTTTTTTTGGTAATTGGGCTTGGGTGTGCACCTTGTCTAATCTCTAGAGAGTTAGCGACTGGGTAAACCCTCCAGTGGTCATCCCTATTAACAAACAAGGAAAATCGAACTTAAGACCTCTAACAATACACCCAAGAGTCACTATCGTCTCACCTTATCACCCATGGGTGGTTAATTGAGGCAATGAATTTGGCGTACGTCTCTATTTTGTTACTCTTTCATATTAATCTGACACCTAGTGTTGGTGTCGAAGTAATACCACCACCTCAACCCTAGTAGTGTCGTTGTAATGTAACAAGGCCCCGACACCATGTTGGCATTGGCAAAGTGCAACTATACTAGAACTGGTTTCTGGCATTGGCTATTGTAACGTCTCGCAGATAAGTATTCCCGTAATAAATTTTGTCTTTTAGTGTTAGTTAACATGCATCAACCGGTAACATTTGAATTTATAGAAACGGTAAAAAATCACGAAAAAGATGGAATACCCATTTGATTCTTTCATGGTAAACAAAGTTTTTTGCCAAGCATTGATGAACAAACACTGTGAGATAGCATCAGTTAATCAGCTAAGAATAATTTAATTGGCTTAGATTTGTTATTAAAATAGATTAATATATCACATAAAATTGTCTCCATTTATGTACTCATTGTTTCATATTTACATTAATAAATTGGCTCCTTTCATTCTCCATATTTTAAGCATTACAATAACTAAAGCAATCCATGCTTATTGAAATTTTGGGAGATTAATCGAACTTTAAAATAGCTAGTTGGATGGTAAATCCGTTAGCTATTGGAGTTAACTATACCTAGAAGGTCTTGTGTTCGAATTAGAGGAGACAAACCTACTATATTTGTCAATTCATTGGATTTGTAGAGTATTCCGTGGCCCTAAAGATTAGACAGGTTTCAATATGAGTCTAGTCTGCCTGGATACCTAAAAGAAAATAGCTCGTGTGACAACAAAATAAGCAAATATTAAACTAATTATGCATTACTTTACACGCTTTTAACTCACTGTTATTGAGAAGTACTCTACAATAGAATTGGAATCGGAATCGGAATCGGAATCGGTATATATGCATTCATTTAACTGCTGCAGCTTGTATCAATATGTTCATATGATCTTCACCTTCCTTGTGTGTAGATGCCTATGATTGACGTATGTACATTCATTCTACTGAATTTTTTTTCTATATATAGTTATTTGAAATTTATCTGATTAGTTAATATGTAAGAGAAATTTGTATATGTAATATTACACGATTAAAATATAAAACACATATGCAGTATATATCTAAAGTAGGTTTAAAGATCGTATAACCATTGAAGTTCAAAGAACGATCTAATAACAAATATATTGTACAGCTTTATTACAAAAACGCACGTGTTTCTGTCCAATCACTACATGCCACATTGATGTATGTGTATGACTTATTACATGCCATGCAATTGGTTGACTTCGTATCGAAGACTTTCTCGTCATGTCATGAAAAAATATGAAACAGTAGACGGCCGGCTGATATCCTGAGAATATTGCCGGCATCACCTAGAAGACCAGTACATATTTCCTTGGATTGATTCTCTCTGTCTTTTTTAACCGACCAAAACCCACCTTTGTTTTTTATAATTTGGACGCACCCAAAGCAAAACAAATCCGATACTAATTTATTTATTTATTTATTTATGTTATATACATATAACAGGTTGACAAAAAGCTTTGCTAAAACCAGTTTTCTCTTCATTAATTTCCATCATCAATTCAATTTCAGGCTCTAATTAAGTCCCGAGGTGTTGGCTCGGTTCAACCTCACCACAATGTCGATGATCAGAAACTCGACTCTCTGGTTTGGTTGAGCCGCGCCAATATCGCGTGCCTTTTGCCCTCACTCTTCAAAGTTTTTTATGTGCAGATGTTCTGCTTCACCAGATTTAAAGTGCAGTTAGCCTTCAGAGAAAGATTGTAAGATGCCAAGGTTAGACTCTGGGTATTTTTCTTTTTTCTTTTTTTAACGAACAATCAACCATAAGGATCGGGTGCCTTTCCCTACTTTTACCCTATTCTATTCTTATCATTTTCAAAATACACATTTGTTCCTTATTATAAAAATACTATTATATTTTATTCAATTATTTGAACACCCTAAGTTTGTTAATTTAATTAAACACTCCAAAAAATTTAGAAATTTATAAAAACACTCACACCCACCCATATTTACCAGATTTTGGCCACCACTGTTGGAAGGTGGTCAAGCCGATAGTGCGCCAATCTAGCCTTTTCTAACCAGATCTACCGTAGACCTGGCCAGAAAATGCCAGATCTAGACCAAAGATCTGGCCATTGCCGTCTAGATCTTTGGCCGTAGCTAGTCATCAACGACAACCATATCTTTGGCCGTTGTTGACGACCAAACGTGGCTAGATCTAGCCTTTTCTGACCAGATCCACGGTGGATCTAGCTGAAAAAGGCCATATCGACGCACGACCAACCATATCCAACCGGTCTTGCGCCGATATGATGACTCCGGCCACCCTCCTACAGTAGTGGCTGATTGCCGATATTTACTGGATGGGTGGGAGTGTTTTTGTTAATTTTCAATGTTTTATTACATGGGTGTTTAGTAAATTAACAAACTAAGGGGAATATTTTTGTTAATTTTCAAATCCTACCTCGTAATAACCACCCAACTCTTAGGCTCCGTTTGATTCATTATTCTAATACTTTTTAGAATAATAGTTTGAAAAAAGTAAAATTGGATGGGTATTACGATGTAGGATTTGGAAATTAACCAAAATACCCCCCTATGTTTGTTTATTTACTAAACACCCCTATAATAAAATATTAAAAATTAACAAAAACACCCCCAACCCACCCATTAAATACAAACAGCTGGCCACCATCGCCGGAGGGTGGTCGGAGTCGCCGTATTAGCGCAAGACCTATTAGATCTAGCCGGTCGTGAGCCGATATGGCATTTTCCAGCCATCAACGACGACCGTATCTTTGGCCGTCGTTGGCGACCAAATGCGGCCAGATCTGACCGTCAATTGCCAGATCTAGCCGTGGATCTGGCTAGAAAAGGCTAGATCGGCGCGCTATTGGCCATATTCAGTCGTTAGTGTGCCATTATACCAGATTCCGGCAATGGTGGCCGAAATCTGGTAAATGTGGGTTGTTGGGGTGTTTTTGTCAATTTTTTTAAAAAAAATTAGGGTGTTTAGTTAAATTAACAAATTTAGGGGGTTTAAAAAAATTGAATAATAATAAGAGAACCAAAGATAATTTTCTGTTTAACTTTATTGGGAAAATCAGAATAATATTTTAAAGAGTGCACCAAACAAAGACTTTTTCAAAAATATTATCAAAAATACTAAAATAAACGCACCCGATATAATTTTAACAAAATGATACATTTGTCTTATCTAAAACTTTCGATAAGACGAACACCACCGTCTTTCTAATATTATTCTTTCTTGTATCAATTGTGTAACGTGTAGATTTTACAATACAAGAACAGAAGTGTTCTTCTTTAGACAATATTTATTGTGGAGTAAATATCTTTCTGAAAACGAGTGGCACACATCAAACATGGCGTATAATATTATCCTGTTTTGCTTTATATGTTTTGTGAAAACAATTTGGTAGAGAAAGTAGATGAACAGTTTTGTTAGCTTGGCATGAAATCTCTGCACATTTCTATTAGGATTTTGTTTTATTTTTTTTGGTATAACAGAAATTCCATACGGCTCTTCTAAATACGTAAATTTCTTTATCCCAAGTAATCTTTTATTGTTTTCGAGGTATACACACATAATATATTACATAATCAATAAAGATTCGTTCACAATCCGATTTCACATACTTTCTCTCATAACGCCAATATGGTAGTTCGTAATTGAGTAGACAAGACTTATAACGAGCAAACGAAACCCATTTACAAGCGGATCAATTGCGAACTACTGTGTCAGGATTGTGAGAAAAAAATTTGTAAGATTGGGTTGTAAATTTAGTATTACCATCATCTAATCATGTAATTAACACCCAAAGGTTTGGCTTTATGTAGGGGCGGATCCAGCCTATTTTCATGGCCCACCCTCAATTTTATTTTAAAAAATACTAATATATATATAATTTCTGAATTTTAGTCTATCCTAATAAAAATATTAATAAACAAAAATATTAATGTGTAATTAGTTTTTATTTTGACCCACCTTAACAAAAATTTATGGATCCGTTACTGGCTTTATGGGAGGGTGGCAAAGTCCTGATTTTGAGTTCCTTGTGACCCAGCTTAAAAATCCTGATTCAATCTATCAGGATTTTTTATTTATCCTCATAAAAAAAAATTAGATTAAACGTAGTAGTTGGATTTACCCGGAGAAAAATCTGTAACTGCAAGCTGAAATTAGGGTTTCCATATCCAGAGATAACAGGAACAAACTCAACTATCCCTGAAAAAAAAAAAAAAAAAAAAAAAGAATCAATTCTCAAACACTATATATAATATTAAAACCACTCGGAAAATCACAAAAAAATGGACTCCAAGCTTTTAATTTTGTTACGTTTTGTTGTATTGTGTTCATGGGTTCATGTGGGGTTTTCCAGTGACTTGATGAGCCAGGGTGATGGTGGTTCAGGTTCAGGTTCAGGTGATGCGACGTCGTGTATAAAGAGTCTTATCCCATGCAAACCCTTTTTGAAATCGGGTACGGCACCGAGGTATTGCTGTGTGCCATTGAGGGAAATATTGTCGAAGGATGTTGCATGTTTGTGTAATGTGTTTCACAATCCTGAGATCTTGAAGTCGTTTAATGTTACACTGGATGAAGCTCTTAAATTTCCCAGAGCTTGTGGTGCTAACGCTGATATTTCAAAATGCAAGACTGGTAATTAAGAACCCTCCCTTGATGATCTTCCATGTCTTCTCTGGTGCCATTTTGATCTTCCATGTCTTCTTTTTTGTTATATAATTTCCGTTTTCATGAACTGACTGAATCTATCTTGTTTCTTTTCTGATCTCTAAAGCATCATCGCCTACACCATCTTCAGGTGAGTTTCTTCTCGTCAATATATATTTCCCTCCTATAATTAACTTAATTTCTACAGAAACTTTAATGGTTTTCTTTTGTGCTTGCTTCATATATAGGGCCTCCATCATCAAACAACAGTTCAGGTAGTCCACCTTCAAATCGTGCCGCAGTACCTCAGATTGCTAAATTCGGATTGATTTCTTTTGTTGTTGCTTTGTGTTTTTCTTCGCTTTAGGTTCTACTGTTTTCATTCATTTTTTAATAAGAAAATTTACCTGAAACTTGCTTCTTAATTACGTTTTAGCCATTTATGCAGGAGTACAACATTTTTCCAATGAACATGATAAAAGGTCAATTTTCATTCGTATTAACAACCAATTTCTCGACAAGGGCATTTAAGTCATTTACTACCTTCAATTATATATGCGAAAACTACCTTGAAATTTCTCAAAGGGGTGACATTGTTAGTTTTCAAAACTTGGAGGGTAAAATTAAACCGTAAATATGAGGACATTAAAGTCATTTAAATAAAAGATTGAAAAAGAGAATATATAAAAAATTAAAAATCGAAGGCGAAGGTGAACTCCATAGATAAAACAACTCCTTCAATTGTATATGCGAATACTACCTTAAGATTTCTCAAAGGGATGACATTGTTAGTTTTCAAAACTTGGAGGGTACAATTAAGCCATAAATAGGAGGGCATTTAGGTCATTTACGAAAATAAAAGATTGAAAAAGAGATTATATAAAAAATTACAAATTGAAGGCGAAGGTGAACTCCATAGATAGAACAATTCCTTCAATTATATATGCGAAAACCACCTTGAAATTTCTCAAAGGGGTGACATTGTTAGTTTTCGAAACCTGGAGGGTAAAAAGGGTTAAGCCATAAATAGAAGGTTATGAAAATTAACTCTCCTTATTAAAATAAAATTTATAAAAACCCGGACAGAAGTTAATCAAAGGGGTGACATTGTTAGTTTTTAAAACTAGGAGGTCCTTGTGAAGAGTCAATAATAAACGTGCAAATTTACGAGCATCTGAATGCGGTGGCCGTACGAAAGTAGAAAGAAAACGGCAACCGTAAGCATATTTACTCAGAAACGAATGTCGGCAACTAAAAGGACCGATTGGGCTACAAAAAGCCCATCAGTGACGCGTTGCCTTTACAACAAAACTGAAACTTACAGAACTGAAGCGACTGAAATGGACAAAACCGACGCTACCGGAACAGAAAATAGTACAAGAGAGCTCTGTTGAGCTTTTTGTGAAGAAATTTAGTACAGAGTGAGAAGAGGAAGGGTATAAGAAGGGGCTATTTATAGTGTGCTTTTGGAAACCCTAAATTTCCATACGTGTTTTTTGATGGGCTTTTTGTAGGACTCAAATGGGCCTTAATTATGCAAAAAAATGTTTCAAGAAAATAAATGTCATATTTTCAAAAATTATTATATATTTTTTAATTTCTTTTAAACTTCATTAAATTTGTTAATTTAACTAAACACTCCCAAATATTTTTTTTAGAAATTATAAAAACACTCTGATTACCCTCCGGCGGTTGTGGTCGGTTGTCTGTACTTAATGGGTGGGTTAGAGGTATTTTTATTAACTTTTAATATTTTATTATAGGGGTGTTTAGTAAATAAACAAATATAGAGGGTATTTTTGTTAATTTCTAAATCTTATATCGTAATATCCGCCCAATTTAACTTTTTTCAAAATATTATTCTAAAAACTATCAGAATAATAAAAAAAAGGGATGAGGTTTTTTTAAAGTAAAATTGATAATTTATGGAAATAACTAAATTTTAAGATCAATATTCCAATAATATTAAGAAATAATGCTACTCATTTAATCAATATATCCTAATATTATCGTATGTAAAGAAAAAAACTATAATTTCGTAAAATATATAATAATATCAAATAACATATACACGTAAAAAAAATTAGAATAATTCTTAAAATGTATAACGTTATCGTGACTTTTGGTGGAATATAACAAATATAAGAGATATAACAAAAGTAAATATGATAATAAGTCGAGTCATTTTTTTAAATTCGAAACATGAATAATCGAATATAGTACCTTATTACATGTCTAATTTGTTGTAACTAATGTCACTCGATCCACTAAAGAATTGTTGGCTTTAACCCTAAGGATAACAATATATCCGATAGTATTCCACGATTCAATAGCATTGTCAACACAAAATATCGACACATTGATTTATATGTGACAATCGTCTTATTGTCCTGAATTACGATATTTAACTATTAAAAAAGATAGTATAGTTCTTGTCACCGTTTAATGGTATAATAGTAAGGTCAAATTAAATTCACCATTTTGTTTTTATTATTTTATTTTATTTTATTATATTGTTCACAAATTAAGAAGCCCTAAAATTGTTATTATAATTGCCCTAAAAATTCCACAAAGTCATAAAGATGAGCCAAAAAAAAAAAAAAAGCATAATTTATTTTAAACATAATTTACAAAGTAGTACAACAAAATCACTTTTCATTACATTTTGCCCCCCATAGGACTCGAGTTCAGAAATCAAATGACAGAGTAAAGATGGCGGCAGCATCCATCTCCAAAACCCTAACGAAGTGTCGTAGTGTTGGAGGTCGTGATCCCCTCTTTTATCTTTCAAGGTATAAGCTTAGGGATGGGCTTCCGCGAGCCTTCTCTAACTCTAACTCTGCCTCTGAATTTGCTTCTTCAACCGGGGGAAAGTCAGAGAAAGGGTCGAGAACTTTGTCAAAATGGTTGTTGTTTTTGCCTGGTGCTATCACTTTTGGCCTTGGAACTTGGCAAATTTTTCGAAGGCAAGATAAGGTGAGCTTTTTCTTCATTCATCTTTATTTATTTTCATAATTGCAATCTGAATCTTTTTTTTTTTATTTATTATTATTATTATTATTAGTTAAACTGTACTAAAACTGTGTAACTTGACGTTTAAAGTAATATTTATGCATTTATCTAGGTGGGGTTTTTTCATTTTGTGCAAACTTTAATGGACAAAGAAAAAGTTGAAATTTTTAATGATGAAGATGTTATGAGGGCTTATAAATCACTAGGTCAGTATGATATATTTGCTAATGTCATTTAAAGCTCAAAAAGAAAAAAAAATGATCATAGTTGGTTCAGATAAATGCTCATCCATAAGCATCCGAGGCTCATGGTGGCATGTCGCCATTGTGTCATGAGACTTTGTCATGGTTTGAGACTGATTTTGACATCCAGATATGCTCGGGATGCAATTTTCAATTGAATTGTATTAGATAGATAATTGGAAGCTTAAGCCAACATTTACTTTCTCAGATTGTCTCTAATTGAGGTTTTGCTACAATGCTTTCGGATGCTTATATGCCTTGCTTCGAGAAAGGGAAGAAAGACAATTATTTTTATTCATTCATGTAAACCTTTGAGATGTATTAAGTAAAACACTTTTTTTCAGTTACCATGTTTATGCAGTGTAGTTTTTTAAGTATGGCCTCAGGGGACTGCAGAGTTTTTTCGTTGAATGGAAAATAGTAATGGATAATGTTTTACACATACAGATACAAATGTTGGAATATAGACGGAAGAGGCTGGAAGCTGAACCTTTGAAGTTAAATATCTTATCACCTTCAACTGAAAATGTGGATTCTCTGGAGTTTAGGAGGGTGATATGCAAAGGCGTTTTTGATGAGGAAAAGTCAGTGTATGTCGGTCCACGCTCTAGAAGTATTTCCGGAGTGACTGAAAACGGCTACTATGTTATAACACCTCTGATGCCAATCCCCAACAACCCTGAGAGGTATGTATATGTTGGTTTTATTCCTTTAGTTGTACGGTTAGCCCTATATAACTGATTTCTTTAAAAAGTTAGCATTCTTGCTTTTCTTTATAAGCCATTAAGTTAATTGACAGTTTATTTGTTTAAAGTATGTGTGATTTCGTTCATATATTTATATAGTAATTTCGCTCATCTCAGGAATGCTTTAGAGACAACTGCTTTTGAGTGCTCAAGGGTTCTACTTTATTTTTAAGGAAATATATATCTTCTTATAAGTTATTCAAGAAAACTTAAATTCACTGAAGTTTTTGAGGAAGTTTATCAAGTCAGTGCTGTTGAGATAGATTGTGTCATAGACTTCGCAGTGTTGATCAAGCATCATGTTTCAGTATACAAGCAGTATAGACTTCTAATAGCATAGAGAAAGGGCTCAACATTTTTATTTGTCATTATCACAATTATGTTCATGGTAAATTTTGTGTCCGCTTTGGTGTTTTTGACTAATAAATAGGATAGATTTTCTGTTCCTTTTCAGATGACATTGTAATCAGTATGTTCTTTTAGTGTGCAGTCTCCTGTCCTGGTCAATAGAGGATGGGTGCCGCGTAGTTGGAGGGACAAGTCTTTGGAAGATTCACGAGACCATAAGCAGCCTTTAAATATAGCACCTCCCTCCGCACAACAAAATGAAAGAATTTCTTGGTGGAGGTTTTGGTCAAAGAAGCCTACGACGGTTGAGGTTATTTCTTAGCCTCGTATGATATGTTTTGTCTTCATATATGCAAGTTTGAAGAAAAATTAATTATTCTAGCGATCTACAGGATCAAGTCACTGCTGCTGCCCCTGTAGAAGTTGTTGGAGTAATTCGTGGAAGTGAGAAGCCTAGCATATTTGTACCAGCAAATGATCCAAGCTCTTGCCAGTGGTTCTATGTTGATGTTCCCGCAATTGCTTGTGCTTCTGGGCTTCCTGAGAACACTATATACATTGAAGACATCAATGAAAACGTCAATCCAAGCAACCCTTACCCTGTTCCAAAGGATGTTAATACCTTGATTCGCAGTTCAGTGATGCCACAGGACCATCTAAATTATACATTGACCTGGTATGCTTGTTATATCTTTTTTATCTTCAAATTTGAAATTGTACTGAAAGAACTTAGCTCGCAGATTTATGCTATTAAGCATGTTATATGATATATTCATATTATTTTTGAGCAGGTATTCTCTATCTGCTGCTGTTACATTCATGGCTTACAAGAGACTGGCGCCAAAAAAGACCCGGAGGTAGCAACTCTTTACTAAAAGATATTTGGCCTTTCCAATTAATTTGACATTCAATGTTGCATAAGAATTAGATTCACAATAATATTTGAGCTATAGAATACATTTACCTTCGGCATTTTCCTTCTCGAAGTGAAATTTTTTGTATGTTAGCATCGTTAAGCTTTTCATCACTGCCAACATAGCTGAACTGGAAAATATTTCCTGTTAAATGTAATCAACTGGTTTCTTAATCAGCCTAGCTGATATGGTCACACAGTGGCGATGGATTCATATTTGAAGGAAATGATTTTATCTTGATTTAGTTTTCATCAATAGTTTGTCATTAGCTAAGAATTTAAATGTCATATTTCGAAAATTGGGAGACGGATGTTGTTAGTTTCTAAAACTGAAGCGGCGAGGTTGTCTTTATGCTTAAACCCTAAACTCTAAACTCTAAACCGAGCTTAATTTCAGCCTTTTGGTTTCAGAAACTAACAATATCCATGCAATTTCCAAAGTTAGACGTTCAAGCGAACAAATGAAGACGTTGTTAGTTTCTAAAACCAAGAGAATGAGATTATCGTCGTGTCATAGATCGAGGGCGACAATGTAATGTTCCCCTCTAAAGAGTGGCTTGAATTGATTTATTAAGCTTGTGGATGAAGTTGGAGTGTATTATCTAAATTTTGTTTGAGCTTGATTGCTTGAATTAGACAAAGAGCAGGAATTTCCTCAGATAGAGAAAAGAGAGTAGGAAATAATTGTGACATATTTGGAATATTATTATTATTATTAAGGAAAGTGCTTCCTACTTCAATGCTACAAACTTAAAACTTCATTTTGTAAGTGCATAAAGAATTGATTTTTTCATCTACTTTTCAATCAAATTTGTTATTTTTATCAATATTTTTTCTATTTAATTTAAGTCTTAATCAATTTTATGTTGAAATCATAAAACATGTAAAATTTTTAACTTCAAATAAACATATTTTATAATAGCTTCACAAAAGACAGACATTTAAAAATTTTTAATCGAGGTGTATCTCGGTTAAAAAAAAAAAGAAAAAAATATATATCCATTTTATAAAATTATTAAAAAGTTAAAAATAAACCCCAAGGTATAATAAAATAATTAAAAAAAACATTGGAAGCTTTTTATATAACAAGAATACCGTTATTATTAACGAATTATTAGTAAATTATTAAAATTTAATCCTAGTAAGAGTTTGTAAATATTATCTAATTGTCATTTTACTGTTTATTTTAATATTTAAAAATTGATGGTGTGAATATTGTTTTTTAAAATTTTGTAGAGATTTTGTTAGTTCATACTTAAAAGAAGATTAACGTCATTAACCTTTATTTTAAAAATTTGTTTATTTGTACTGGTGTCGGGTAACGTTACCCCCAAATCCCATTCCCGGTACCATAACTATGTAAATATCGAAAGCGAAAACCGTGGAAGATAAAATGAGCGTGATTGTCGGCGAACGGAGATCAGGCGGCAGTACTCGAACTCCAACTGACATACAAACAAATATATCATGGGTCCCACCATGTTGCATGTCTGCCACGTCAGATGCCTGGCCTTCCACGTTTATTCCTTATTATTATTTTTTTTTTTATTTGAATCAAGACTCAGTCCGTTAGATTGACTGAATCATGATTTGACAGACGGGTAAGTATAAATATCAACCCCAAGGATTGGCCGCTTGCACCTTGCAGAAAGGGTCGCTTCCTTGATTAATTTTTGTGTTCAAACTCGTAGAATATTCCATAAATCCCAAAGCAAGGTTTTAAAACCCAATTTGAGGAGTGACCCGACAGGTCATCGGATTGACGGATTGAACCGGTTCAATCATAGGATCAAAGCAAGGTTTTAAAACCCAATATGAGGAGTGACCCAGTTAGGTCATTGGGTTCATCGATTAAACAGGTTTAACCATATGATCAAACTGTGATATTATCATACTGATATTAGTGTGATACATCGTTCTGACGTATAAAAAATAATAAAAATGCGATTCAACTGTTGGGTCGAACGGATTAGACTGGTGGTTCATAACAAAAAAATCTAGTCTAACCATGTTCAAACTGGGTTATTTAATATTTTCAGTTTTTTTAGTTGAATTGACCTGGTTCAATCACTGGTTCTCGATTCAACCGGTTGAACTGGTCGGATCGAGTGGGTTTTAAAATCACGTTCTAAAGATTAGTTGAGGTATGTGTAAACTGGCCCAAACATCTTCATCATAAAAAAAAAAAAAGACCGAACACGTTGATCATAACAAAGAAAAAAGAGTAAACATTACTGGCCCTAGTAATCTCACTTTGTTATTGATTGAATCACGGTTTCATGGCCTGATGAGTGGCAACGATACCCACCAAATTACGAAGACAAATAAGGGTAAACACTATTGAAAAAAAATCATGTAAATGAAATGTTATCAGATAATTTTAGGTTCGCATTCTCATTCCAACTCCCTTTTCTATTCCCATTCCCATTACAATTCCCTTTCCCCTTCCCCTTTCAATTCCCACTAAAATATCCATTTTCGACCCGATCTGGCCCGATATGGTCGTTTTTTGCCATCAATATGGCTGGAAACGGCCATATCGAAGCCTCCCGGAGTCTCCCACCGAATCTCGTTCTTTTTTAGGGACTCCGGTGATTTTTCGGTGGCGGCCCATGGTGGTTGGCTCGTCGATGGTGATGGTTGGACGGCAGTAGTGGTCTGTAAATTATTTTAAATATAAGGTCATTATTGTCAAAAATTTAATTAAACAGGGGTAAAATTGAAATAGGATATTACTGTAAATTTGTTTTAAAATAGGGGTATTATTGTCCAAATTTTTTATTAATAAGGGATAAAATTGTAACAAAAAATGATAACCCTGGTAATCTCAGAATACCTAAGAAAATGAAGGTAATCAGATTAACTCCCATATTACCAATAGTAACCACTATTGGCATTTGAAGATTACTGGTATCTTATACTACTTGACAACCAAATATGATAATCAAGTAATATAAGATGACATTACTCTAGTAATCCCATATAAACCCCAACCAAACACCCCCTTACTTACTCACGATTTTACAGTCAGATAAGAGGTAACGTTACGAACTAAGTAACAGAGGCAAATCCAAAGACTTGACTTAAGGAGCCCAATCATTAGCCCGAATAACAAAAAATTTACAATCACACCCCCGTCAACTTCACAACTCTTCAAACTTCAACCATGGGCGCTTTGCCTTTCTTTTCTCTTTCTCTGTCCCTCCCAAACCCCCGTTTATTTAATGCCTTTTTTTATTTTGCCCCCTCTCCTTCTCATATGGCGATCGTCACCGGTGACCGTTACCTCGAAAAGCTCGTCAGCTTCATCGACCGCCAGGCCGGCCCCTTGCTCGAAGGATCCATCGTCTTGAAACTCAACCCCGTTGGTCTCCACTACGTCCAGTCGCGGCTCGAGGCCCTGCGCGAGCTCGAGCGCCTCCTCGCCGGCGCTCCGGTTGATTACCTCCGCGCTTATGTCTCCGACCTCGGTGACCACCGCGCCCTCGAGCAATTGCGTCGCATTTTGAGGCTTTTGACGTCTCTTAAAGTCGTATCCATTCTCCCTCCACCTGCGCGGGATCCTACGCGCATCTCGCTGCTGCCGTTTGGGAGATTGAAGGTTCTCGAGCTCCGTGGCTGTGACCTCTCCACTTCCGATGCCAAAGGCTTGCTCGAGTTGAGACATACTCTCGAGAAGATTATTTGTCACAATTCTACTGTGAGTTCAGCTGCTTAAATTAATGAATGAACTAACTAAGTTGAGTTAATGAGATTTAAAATTTTAATTTAATTTTGTTATTTTTAGAATGCATTGCGGCATGTGTTTGCGAGTAGAATAGCGGAGATAAAGGAGTCGCCGCAGTGGAATCGATTAGGTTTTGTTTCGTGTGCGTGTAACCGTTTGATTTTGATGGACGAGTCGCTGCAACTTCTGCCGGCCGTTGAAACTCTTGATTTGAGTCGAAACAAGTTTGCCAAGATTGATAATCTTCGTAAATGTACCAAACTCAAGCACCTCGATCTCGGTTTCAATCACCTCAGATCAATTACAGGCTTCAGTGAGGTTCAAATCGCATTCAAAATTATTGAATATTGCCTTAATTTGCAGTTTAAACTTAAGTATTGTTGCTCAACTGAATTCAGTTTGGTTGGATTATAAAGTTTGATTCAAAATTGGTCAGATTTGGTGTTGAATAAGCGGCTGCTGGAATGAAATGCTATCATTTGTAGGGATAAACATAATTATATTTTTTGTAGGCAAATCACTAGACTTGATTATATGTAGGGCTTGTTTTATGATTTGCCGGTATTTGTTGTATGCTGTAATTTGTTATTTGGGTATTGTTTATGGACCGATATTTGTGTGTTGTTGGATTATGCAGGTCTCCTGCCATATTATTAAGCTTGTTTAGAGGAATAATGCAAAATGCATATTGCTTAATTTGTAGTTTATACTTAAGTATTGTTGCTCTACTGAATGCAGTTTGGGTGAATTATCGAGGATGCTTTGTAATCTGTCAGATTTGATGTTGGATAAGTGGCTGCTACAATGAACTGCTGTCATTTGTAGCGATAAACATAGTTATATTTTTGTAGGCAAATCACTTGACTTGATTATATGTGGACCTTGTTTTGTGATTCACCGCTATTTGGTGTATGCTGTAATTTGCTATTTGGGTATTTGCTACGGACTGATATTTGTGTATTGTTGGATTATGCAGGTCTCCTGCCATATTGTTAAACTTGTTTTGAGGAACAATGCTCTTACTTCATTGCATGGGATTGAGAATTTGAAGTCACTTGAAGACCTTGATGTTTCCTACAATGTTATTTCCAATTTTACGGAGCTAGAGTTTCTTACAGGCCTTTCATCTTTACAGAGATTGTGGTTGGAGGGAAATCCATTATGTTGTTCTCGATGGTATCGAGCACAAGTGTACAGTTATTTCACCTATCCAGAGAAAGTAAGGATTTGTTTATATTTACTTTTCCCAGGTCTCTACATTGTTCTGTTCTTACTTTTGCAGTGATAACATTTGCAGCCTCTTGTAGTGTTTGGGGGCTTATTAAAGAATTTCTTTTTGGGGGTTTTGTTTGAAGAATTGAGTCATCAAAGTATAATATTTGAAGTCTGAACTGCATAATTAAATACCGAGCTTTATAGTCTGGCTAGACTTACATTACTTTCCCTTTCTGTTGTGTGCCGAACTAGTTGAAATTAGATGACAAGGAAATCAGCACAAGAGAATTTTGGAAGAGGCAAATTATAATTGCAAGCAGGCTGAAGCGACCTGCGGCCTTTGGATTCTATTCTCCTGCAAAAGGTGATGCTGATGGTGAAGGGAATGACAACAGAAAAAGGGTGCGTTATTTTAATAGGGACTTTTCCATATTAGCTTTTTATGTCAGAATGCTCTTTATATATGTGTATATACATATTTTGCAATTTGCTAGACTATGAATATTATATATAAGGAAAAAGTAGATATAGACAAGCTCTTTTAAATGTGTTTATACGTATGGATGCAGCCCCTGCACCTGGCCTTGGGGTCTGATGCTGGGTTTGCGGAGCACTTGTTAGATCCTTTAAGTGTATGCTAAGTGAAATAGCCTCAAAGTTTAGTGATTTTTTTTTTTTGGGAATTAAGCATTCCTAACTATTATATGCATATATCCTTACATATATCAGTTTCTTAGCTATTAGTGTTCATATAGATAGTTATGAAATCTGATTGTACTTTTGCAGAAAAAGGTCTCTCGTCTTGCTGCTATTGAAAGTGAAGAAGAGAGCACATATGTTGGTTCTGACCAAGGGTCTATTTCATGTGATAATGAGATTCAAAACAAAGAGGAGACTCCCATGTCTGATGATGAAATCGAAATAGTTGATTTGATGAATAAAGTGGAGCATATGAAGAAAGAGCGTTCTGTTCTATGGTTACGCGAATTGAAAGAATGGATGGATCATTCTTCTGGAAATTTACTGGATGCAAGTACTTTGAATTCAAGGAAAGAAGATCATTTGAAGAATAAGAAGAGCCAGAGGCATTTTGCTGAAAGTTCAAAATATGTCTCAGACTCTGTTCATGCTTCTGGAGACGCGAGTAGTACGAACGTTTTAGAATCTGATAATTCCTTTGTAGATATGCCCATGGGTTTGCACACTCATCAATATTTTGACCATATTGGTTCCCTTGGGATAACTGGTGAGGTTTCTTTAACAGGGATGGGGAGAATGGACTTGAGACAGGAGCATCACAAACCTTCTCTACATGAAGGGGTTGGCACTGTTTCCAAGCAATCTAAAAGCTCCTATCCTGATATATTTACTATTCAAGGTCATAGGATGGTGGAAAATGTTAGTGGGTCTCCATTGACTTCAATAGATGACATCACAGATGCTCATTCCTCATCTGCTTGTCCTGGATCTCCACCACATTACCAAGTGGATATTCTGCATCGTCGGCACAATTTGGTTGAGGAAATTTTGCAACTATCTGCAGATTCCTATTCCTTGGCTTCATCTGATAGTAATACTAGCTGCAGTGATGATGATTCCTGCATAGACGGGCCATCAATGCCTGAAGTTGATCAGTCTCTTAACCATGAAGATGTGTATAGGACTGATAAAGGGCATTCTTCATCTAACCTGTTTAAGGGTCATGATTGTGGACATTTAAATGACATTGATCATGTGAGAGAAAATGGCGTAATCAATAATTCGTCTGTTGGTCCTAATGATGATGAAGTTGCTCATTCAGTCAACCAAGAGGCTGATTGGTTGGAAAGGAAAAAAAGAAAGAAACATAGAAAAAGAGTTATTTCTCTATTTGAGGAACAGACTATGGTTGGCGAGGTAGAAGAATCACAAAAATCAAATGGCAATTTGGATACTAGTGGAGCTGGTTTCGAAAATGAACAAGGAAAGCAAATCTTTGCTTGGAGTGATCTTCAGAAAGCTACCTACCAGAAACAGACCCAGGAAATTGCTATTTCAACCCCTTCAATTGATAATTCTGGAAGATCTTCTGTGGCCAAATGCTCATATCTAATGGGAGATGATTTTGTTGAAGACTTCTTTAATAAAAATATTGCTGATTCCAGAAGTCATGAAACTTGTAGGCAGTATATGTTTTGCTGTATGCTTGAGCAAGATTCCATGTACAGAGAAAGGTAATTACTGTAATTAATTAGGCTGGGGATTTTTTTTAGCTGATGTGCGAAAAGAAAATGATCACCATTTTACATGCTAAATTTACAAACTGTTTGGTGATGGTGATGTAGATTATCAATACTACAGGATTTTGTTGTGTGAGATTTATTTATAAATTTCATGTTTGATTTAATATGATGTAACTTTTTTTGCCTTTTTGAATGTCCTGTATATTAATTGCAGTATTCGGAAAAAAAATTGTGTTGCTTCCCTGTTTCTGTTCTTCAAGCTCATCTATTATGTCATCTAGGTTAAAAGTCTTCAATTTGCAGCGTACTTGGAATGTAAATGAAGTTGCCATCTTATGCCATTCTGAAGTTTCTTCATTTAGGTAGTACCTAGGAAATGTTCATTTTCTTCCTTTTCTAACTTGATCTTTTAATGAGTTAGACTACTTTTTGCCTAAATATACAACTGATAGGATCATATTTTCACCTAATTGCTAAGAATTGCCATCTGTTTGTATTTATGGATATGGATTTGGAATTTCTGTGGGAGGTGCAATATTGTTACCTAATTGCTGACTATTGAAGTTCTAAGATTCAATGATATGAGGCTTGCTTTCCATATATCAAACCTGTGCCTTTCAAGATTTTTACTGAATTTGTTCTTTTATTACTGATTGAGCATGTCATTCTATATTTTCTTTCTGGAGGTTTTCCACACCTGTTTTTTCATTGGTTATATTTAATAGGTCCTTAGAATTGAAAACAATTCTTGGTATTGACAGTTATTAAAATTCATTTGTTGAGCTATTTGCTATCTTTTGCATATTCTCTCTCTCTCTATATATATTTTTCTTTTCTTTTCTTTTCTTTTTTTCTTTATCATCTTTATTTTCAATTTCTATGCAGAGAAGTAGCCATTATAAGTAGCAGCAAGAACAAGTTGTATGTGTTGCTCTTTGGTGTCTCATTTGATGGATCAGGTTGATTATGAAGTCATTTCTGAATTTATCTGATTTGTTCTTAATGTTGGCAATTTGGACGTTTTTGTGCTTGCTATTGAACCTCATGATGCTGAAGTTATCAATGGTCTTTTACAGCGACTACCTTAAGTTTACTGGGTTGCCACAAGATTGAAGATGTTAGAGAGGTGTTATTTGGTCTAGGACTTCAGGTTGTGAGGTTAGTCATTTCTGGTACTTTTGGCTATTCAAGTAACTGATCACTCCTCTAAAACTGTCTCCTCTTACATGATTCGGTTAGGGTTTCAACTGAGACTGGTGCCGCATACCTGTTTGTGACAAGGAGCATTGAAAAATCAAGGCAACTACTTAGTACATTGCAAGTTCTTGATTTAGTTCCAACAAATGATAAATGCTCCTTAAGAAGGTGATCTATCTCTATCCTCACACTCATTTGAAACTCAATACTGGGTTTATTCTTCCTCTGTGTACATGTATGTTGGTATCATGTACTTAAATTTGAATTTAATAACTGCTTGACAGTTATATATTGTTTTGTTTTTCTTTGTTATGATAGACTGGGGTTTTGGAAATTTAAATGGCAGTTTGGAGCAGGTTCAGGTTGAGTTGTTTGAGAAACATATATGTGGAGGTTCACAAGTGAGCATATTCCAATATTCTATGTTACTCTTTTGGTGCAGTGCTAATGAAGGTATACTTCTCACAAGTTCATCTTGATTATGATTTCGTATGTCTAATATGCTAAAGATCCTGTGCACGTGTGACTTGGTTTTGTCTTGGTTTTCTGCTGAAAGGGAACATTATTCTTTTTTGCCTTTGGACATTAGTTGTGCTTGAGTGATGGGTGGGATAGGGTTGGTCAGTCCTGGTTAAAGAATTTATTTTCTTTTACTTTTTTTTGGTACAAAAGGGCAATACAAGTTTGCGTAAATTGCAACTCAGTTTAGAAGCTAGTTACTTTTTTATTTTTGACTTTCAAAGCTATGCATTCTTGTATTCTCTAATACTTAAATTCCCATGCTTCTAAACAGAGGGGTTATGGCTTGCGAGATCACTGTTTCTGATTGGAGGGCATATGCTTGTCTGCTCGGAGGACCTTATGCAGTTCGGCTCCTTTTCAGTGGATGCTTCTTTCCCTCCATATTACTCACTTCATCTATGTTGCTCTGTTGATGCCGTGTCTGAGATGGTAACTTAAACTCTTATCCTCATTCATCAGTATCTTTTTTATACACCATAAATTCTCCGATCCAATAACAAATAAGATATCACTATAATGATAACCATTTTGAAAGTAAAGCGGGCTCTGTCTTTAGCATACATTTGACGCCGTCTTAAGTGGAGAAACATTATCTTTATAAGTTGTAAAAGGATTATCTTTGTTTTCTAATTTTCTGATGGGAAAAAGAATTTCTATAGATTCTTTGTAGAGTGGCCTTGAGAATGTGCTCTATTGTAACTATCCTAGAGGTAGTTGTTTGAAGTTCAATTGGCTTGGGAGTTTAATTCATCAAGGATAAATATGAGATGCAGGAGTGGCTTTGGGTTTGTGTTTGGTACACACATGTTAGGAGATGCTATAGCTGCAGATTCATTTGATACTGATCAAAATTTTGAAGTTTATAGCTTGCCGTGGCAATAGGCTTGGGTGATTTGGTTTTGGCTTTGACAGAAGTCTAAAAGAACTGAATGTCGCGGATTGTTATGTTGCATGATATTTACATCGATATATTTGAAATACGGTTTTTTTTCAGGTCATTGAAGCAAGTGAGAGTTGTGTGACCTTAGCTGTTGAATGTGCTGCATCAGATTTTTGCCTCTCAGCCACCGCCTCCAATGAAGTTGCCGCAATTCACAAGAAAAAGACTTCCACGAGTTCTCAAATTTGGAAGCTCAAATGGTTCTCCCAAGAGAGTCTATCAAATTTTGTGGCACTTTTGAAGGCAATGCATGCAGGGAAAAAACAGTCTCCATTGCTCGTAAGATGCATGTCATGAAGCCTTTTCGTTCTCGTTTTTGCTAGTTCATATTCATTCTATTCTTTTCGCTTGGGCTTTTTAGTTTCCAATTGGTTGTTTTTTGCCTGATTTGCTGTGGTTTTGTTTCTCAATATTCTTTGATTTGTATTCTTTGGTCGATGATCATGGTTTTCTCTTGTACAAAATGTACAGTATTATTTATAGAACATATAAGGGAGAGTTAAATTTTGTTTTGATTGTATTTTAATTCAAAAATGCTACGGACACCAAATGCTAGTATCGAAATTTTGCACCGATCTATGTGGCATTTTACTCAGACGTAGCCACGTAGGATACAACACAGGTATTCAGTGAATAAACGATTGTTCATCACGAATGGATGAGAGTCCAGAAAATATCAATGGACTCTCGTCCCTTTACTATGGACGGTTGTCCATATAATTTTAAAGTACAAAGTATTGGACGCCTGTCCATCTCAAATAATTTTTTTTTTTAATTTACAATTTATTTTTCATTTATAAAAGGCTTTTCTAAGTCAAAATTTTTATATGAAATATTCATTTTTAAAGCACAAAACTTTTAGATGAAATAAAGGAAAAAAAATTGATTTTTAAAGTACAAAGTATGGACGCCAGTCTATCTAATGAGGATGGACGGCCATCCAAATGAGATGGACCGGTGTCCATACTCAAATAATTTTTTTTTTTTAATTTACAATTTTTTTTTCATTTATAAAAAAAAAATGCAAAGCAAGAGAGATAAATTAAAAGTACTCACATTGTAGAATTTTTTGAAGAAATTTTTTTATTAAATTAGAATTTGGGTATGGACGACCATCAACGGACGATCGTCCATTATTTGTTTTTAAACTTTTCTCAATAGGTGTCCATCTTATATGGACAGGAGTCCATTGATATTTCGTGGACGATTGTCCATTCGTGATGAACGGTCGTCCATAACGTATGGATGGTCGTCCGTGTAAGATGGACAACCATCCATTCACGAAATCAGTATTTTCTGTCCAACGTGGCCGCGTCTTAGTGGATGCCACATCGTTCGGTAAAAAATTTTGGTGCACAAATTTGGTGTCTGTAGCATTACTCATTTTAATTCTATTCTATAAGCTTTTATGATAGAAGAGGGAAGGTTCTTAAAAGAAATATAATTTGTTGTTCCATCAATTCTTATATGAAGAAAATTTGGACCTAGCTATTTTGTTCAGATTAAAGGTGTGATTACAGTAAAATCCTCAAGGTTTTGCAATTTACAATAAGCACNATTTATCGTCTAAATTAATTAAGAATATTTTACAAATTTTTTTTTTAACTTTAAAAAAATATTTTATAGGTTAAAATTGGCACTAATTATTATCTCACTACTAGTGTTAATGAGAAATTCTGAAAAGTTATTGGGCTGGACGGCCCAATACAACAAAATTTGTTGCTATATAGGCCCCTGCAGTTTTCTCTTCCATTAAACTCTATAAGAAATCTAATAGGAACTGGTCATCTAGGTAGAAACTGGGACTAAATTATAATTCTGTAAATTATTGGAGGTATATTTATAATTTTTAGATGGTTTATTTGTCATTTTTAAAAAAATAGGGGGTAACTGAAATTAACTCAGAACCGGAATCTGTGTTTCAGGTTTCGGTTCCTGGCTTCTAGGAATTGAAACTGGTCTGTTTCGATTTCACATCCAAGGAACTAGTTTGTTTTGATTCCAATTTCTTTGAATTTGGGTGGATACCCAGTACAAATGGTTGAAAGGGGAATTTGATTGAGGATTAGAAAGGTGGTGACAATGGTAACTAACTCCAACTTTGTATATCCCTTTTAATCTTAATTTCCTAGTTTACTTTTTAAATGGTTGCCGAATTATTCGCGAATGATTGACAAAAGGAAACTGATTGAAACGACGTCGTTTTGGTGGGGGAAGAAGAAATCAAATCAGTGGAAATTAATAGCCAGATGTTAGAAGAAGAGTGGAATGGGACAAGATCTAATTATTTTGTCCAAATTCAGAATCCCAAAGCAATCTGTGACGTGTAGGGTCTAAATTAAGTGATGATTTATTAGTAACATGAGATTATGAAATCGAAATAAAATACTAATTAACCCAACAAAAAATATATGGGGTTTCCTAATAATAATTATTATAAAAATACAATTATATTGTCTTCGTTTGTAAGGGAAGAGATTGGAAAAGGAGTTTTAGATTGGATTAATGATATTAAAATAATCTTATTCTTTATGTTAAATAACCTTAAATAAGGTTAAATAATAATTATTATAAAGAATAATTGATATTCAACCTAGTAATCCAGTAGTCTTAACTTTTATTGAATCAAAATAAATAAATAAATGATAAACAATTAAAGTCATATATTATAGGTATAAAATAATAGTTAGACTATTGTAACCCTAATATTTTATATAGATTTGTGAGACAAAATTTTAGTTCTTGATTTAATATAATTTAATGGATTAATGAGAAGTTAAAATTGATTGCATTTAATATCAAACTTATCAAGTTTTAAATTAATAAAAAATCATGGCTAAATATTGTGTTTAAGTCTGAAGACTATAATTTAAGTATTAGTTATTCTTTATAATAATTATTATTTAACTTTATTTAAGGTTATTTAACATAAAGAATAAGCTTATTTAACTCGGTAATTCATAAAAGTGTTAAAACTAAGATTAATATTGCCGTATTTTTCAAAACGTATTATTGACAATGAACCATATTAAACCCGTATATACCCGTATCATATTTTTCCCGTATCTGAATTTTATGGCCGAATTTTTATAAACGTATTTTTCACCATTTGCCATATTATACCTGTGAAATTCCCATACCTCTTTTTTTGCCGTATCCATATTTACTAACTAGGCTTAATTTTACCCCTACATAAAGTAATAAATGGTGAGTATTTAGTCTAAAATTGAAATGGGCCTAAGAAATCCAAAGCTATTAAAAGATGGGCGTGGACCAACGAGACAAATGATAAAAAAAAGGGTAAAGACTTTGCCTTTGCTACATTTCACGCACAATAATACTAGTCTTACTGACCACCCTTACTAATTGACATGGCAACCAACATGACAGAGCCATCTCATCTGCCACGTCACCAACATACCACATCAGTTTCCCTCCAAAATTAAAAAAAAAAATCCCCAAAATTCTTTCCTTTCTCCTCTAAGTCAAATTTGAACCCTAATTCCATTTCAAACTAACAAAACCTCTTCCACTACCACCAATTTATCCTCTTCCACCACCACCGCTGTCTGTCCTCTACCACCATCGCCACTGTCTGTCCTCTTCCACCACCAGGGGCGGATTTAATGAATGACGAGTGGGGACCACGGCCCCCACTCAATTTTTTAAAAATTTCAGATTTTCTATTTCTATTTCTATTTATTTAAATTTTNATGGAATTAGTATTTTCTGTCCAACGTGGCCGCGTCTTAATGGATGCCACGTCGTTCGGTTAAAAATTTCGGTGTCTGTAGCATTACTCATTTTAATTCTATTGTGTAAGCTTTTATGATAGAAGAGGGAAGGTTCTTAAAAGAAATATAATTTGTTGTTCCATCAATTCTTATATGAAGAAAATTTGGACCTAGCTATTTTGTCAGATTAAAGGTGTAATTACAGTAAAATCCTCAAGGTTTTGCAATTTACAATAAGTGCATGAAGAAGAAAGGAGTGGGACCCATTCTTGGATTGTCCTGATGGTTAAAGTGAACTAAGGATAGTGTGGTTATGTGCACGGTCTTAGTTCAATTTCCTACTTGTGCATTTACGATTTAAGTAGGGGTGTGACGGTGGGTTGTTGCGCTAGTCTCTTGTAAGGATTAATTGAGGTGTGCGTAAGTTAGTTCGGACATTTTGGTTAAAAAAAAATGGGAATAACAAAGAAATAAAAAGAGGAGAAACAGAAAGGTTAATAATACCCTTGAAATTGAAAATGTAAATTTCAAAACCTTCAGGGTTTATTATAAAGAAAATGTTATACTCACAACCTTTTTTTTACAAACTTTCTCTTATAACTTTGATGTGATAGCTCCCAATTGGTCAGCTCATAATGGGTTTCATTTGGGTCCTATTTGATAAATTGTAATTAACCAATTACAAACTGTTACGTCTGGATTGTGAAAAGCTACATCAGGGTTGTGAGAAAAAGCTTGAGGGAGAGGTTGTAGACGCTAATTTTTTAGTAAAATATATAATGGTATACATGGGTTAAAAATAGACCCCCTGAGGTATCATTTAATTATAAATAAATAAATTATAAAAGTATCATTTACCTCGCTGGCTAAAAAATACAAAAATTGTCACCTATCTGTCAACTTTTGAAACTTTACGGGTACTAATAGATTTTCGTTAAATTAGCCCCAGTCCATAATCTTTGGAGCTGGCCCAATTCCAATTCACCCCTCTTTACCCTTCGTAAACCAAGTGGCTATAAATTAAGCGCCGCAACCCCTTTTTCTCACTGCACTAAACCTAGCGCTTCTCTTGGATTCGCGGCTGCTTACAGAGCTTGCAAAGTAAGCTTCTTTTCTTCTTTTTTATGGTTTCTCGCTCTTTGATCTGCGCTTGAACTTTAATTTTACAGCTTTATTTTCTTTTTGATTATCATTTGGTGTGTAATTTTGCTTTAATGAATTCTAATTAGGGTTTGCCTGGCTGTCTGTGTTATTATGATTTTTATGTCATTTTATTGTTTAGTAAGAACTATCAGTGAATAATTTGAAGCATAATGATTGTAAAATATGATTGCATGATTTGAATTTAAGATATTGTAGATTGTCAGTGATCTGGAAAATTATGAGTAGTTTAACTCTTGAAAGCAATATAGTGTTATGTGGATGTAGGATTGAATATTTGAAATACGTAGAATTGAAAATTTTATAAATAAATGATAGATGCTTTAGAGTATGGTTTTCATAATCTGGATTTCAAGTTTTAGACATTTTAGGCTTTGGGTTTTTGAAGTTTGGGTGTTGGGAGTAGAGTTTTGGTTTCATTAAGTTACTATATTCTTGTATGAAAGTATTTTTTTGTTACAATTCAGATAATCATTGGGCCTTGTGCAGGTTGTTGGAGAAGTTTGTTAGGGCGGCTATAATGTTGTAAATTTTTGTTGGCTGCTCATCTATTTATTACAAAAATAAATGGAAGAAGATATAGGAGGAGAAGAAAAGCCAATATTTAGAGACATAAGGCGTTATTACTGTGATTATTGTGGCATTTGTAGATCGAAGAAGTCTCTTATCACATCTCACATCCTCACCCACCACCAGGTTCAATTAGTCTGCTTGTTGTATTTATCTGTTGATTTATTTGATTCACTCTTCAGATTTTGATCCAAAGCTCTGCTTTAGTATGGTTTCTTAGGGATTTCTCTGTTTAGCAAAGCAAAATACCATGGTTACTAATGGGGTAGAAATTGAAATTCATGACTTTGCTTGTCTGGTTTATGGTTTCAGCTCCTCCCTTACAATGACTGAGAATGCAAATGATTTTAATAATAAGATTTCAAGTATATTTTGTGACAAACATATTGTAACTTATAATACCCTATTCTCATTTGGAAGCTCATTATGTTGTGCAAGATCAAGAATCATAGACTTTAAAGCTTATATTAGTGACAGATTCAGGTTCCTACATCAATTGGTTAACTTGTCATATTTAGTGACTGTATAATAACATTAAAAGAAAGGATGCTTTTTAAAAAAATGAGTTGAATGATCATTAATGGGAATGATTTAAAATCGAACTATTGGCATGAGAGAAGGAATTCTCTTTCTAGATCTCTTTTGAAATTGCTTGAAATAATTCAATATTGATTTTCTGCTTTTTTCCTCCTAATTTATGTTCTTTATTCTTTTAGGAAATGGTCAATGAAGAAATTTTTGACGGGGATCAGAAAATGGATGGATTACAATCCAATACTTGTGAAGAATGTGGTGCTAGTTTCAAGAAACCTGCTTACCTAAAGCAACACATGCAGAGTCATTCACTTGAGGTATTTAACTATAATTTTGTCTATTATTGTCACAATTATTTAGCAAGTTAATAAATGGAGTTATTTGTTTATGGTTGTAAATGCATTGTATGATATATTTGAAGGCCATTTAATCCGTTTATAATTCAACACCATTTATACAGCTTTGAGAATGTTATCAGAGAGAATTGTTCTAATTGTTCATATAAAATAATGATCAATGATTTTGCAGAAGTTATTGCTTTCTGAGTATATGACCATGGATGTATAGCGTGAAGCATTGGATCCCACAAAGAACTCCAAAATGTGCGAGGCTGTAGATTTGAACTTAATGGACTAGTATCAGGTTGGGAGACCTCCTGAGAAGCTTCATTAAGTAAGCCTCAAACACGCGTTGTTTTAACTTGGAGGTTTGAATCTGTGTATTTCAATTTTCAGTTTATTTATTTATTTTGAGAAGAAACAGAGAATCAGTAACTTTAATTTTGTTGACTGTGAAGTTTCCATTTCTCATACCTTTGATGTTACTGCAGAGGCCATTTATTTGTACAGTAGATGATTGCCATGCCAGCTATAGAAGAAAAGATCACTTGACTCGCCACCTGCTTCAGCACCAAGGCAAATTATTCACCTGTCTAATTGAGAATTGTAATCGTGAGTTCACCATTCAAAGTAACATGAAGAGACATGTTAAAGAATTTCATGATGAGAATTCTTCATCCCCTGATGTTAAAGGTCAGAAGCAGTATATCTGCCAGGAAGCTGGTTGTGGAAAAATATTCAAATACGAATCTAAGTTGCGAAAGCACGAGGAATCACATGGTAAGTTATTTTGATATCAAATTCTTTATGTGGAAGTTTTACTTTGTTTTAATGTATTTCGTTGTAAAGTTTGTTTTACTTTTCTTAGAATCTGCAATCTGGTTATTGTTTTTTGATTTGAAGTTTTGATATATGCCTGTACTACCACAGTTAAGTTGGATTCTACGGAGGCATTTTGTTCTGAGTCAGGATGTATGAAATACTTTACAAACAAGCAATGTCTTGAGGCACATATTCGGTCCTGCCACCAACATATTACATGTGAGATATGTGGTAGCAGGCAGTTGAGAAAGAACATCAAGCGCCACATTCGCACACATGAAGTGAATGATTCACCTGAAAGAATTGAATGTACATTCAAGGGTTGTCACCACTCATTCTCCACTGTAAGATGCTACTACCTTCTTTTGTTCCTTCTGATTAAATATGATTTCTTAACTTGTGTTGACTAAAAGCTGAGTAGCATTTATTTCGAGTCTGGGATAGAGTGTTGGCTTTCTATTCTATGTTTTTCTGGAAGGAATTGTTAGCTTTGTATTTTATTGATTTTTTCTCCCATGGGGAATTCTATTTGCACAGAAATCAAATCTTCAGCAACATGTGAAAGCTGTGCACCATGAAATCAGACGTTTTGCTTGCGGACTTTGTGACATGAGATTCGCCTACAAGCATGTGAGAGACAACCACGAAAAGTCTTCGTGCCATGTTTATACCCCAGTAAGTTTTACACGAAATTTTGTTGGCATCATTTTAAGTGTAATTCATTATCATAGAAGGACAAAAACTTGTTACTGAGTATTCCAATTGCTTCGGAATCAGGGTGATTTTGTCGCAGCTGATGAGGAATTCAGGTCAAGGCCTAGGGGTGGCCGTAAAAGGAAGTTCCCAACAGTAGAAATGTTGACAAGAAAGAGAGTGAATGCTTTGGGTTCAACTGGATCCTGTCTTGTGTATGAAGATTGAATAGATAACTATTAGCTAGCCACTATTTGACAAACCTAGATGTATGCAAAGTAAGGTAGTATTCGTATATTTGTTTAGATATGGATCTTTATGTATTGGGCACCTAAATTCAATTATGTTTATAATACAAAAAGTTCAGTAAAATTCGATATAGTAAATGCCATACTTCGACTCTCCTGTTTTCAATGTGTTGATTTATCTGATCATGGTTTCTTGGATCTTTTGACATTGTTTTAAAACTCGACCTGTTAAAAGGAGGCCGGTAAGGTGATAGGGTCTCGGGTTTCCCGGTGATCCAAATAATTTAAAATCTTGCAAAAACACCCCTGAAAAAGATGAATCAATCCTATAGGTTTGAAATCTAGTAAATACATCCTTGTGATCTGTTTGGGTTTTGACTATTTTGGTTGATTTTGGCAGCCAAAATTCATCCTAGTAATCTACCACTTGAATCATCGTCTTTCACATCAGAAAATCTCTCTAACCTCAAAGCTTGATAGCCCCTCATTCGTTGACGGTTAAATTAGAGATTTTGTAAATAGTAAAATACAGTAAACCCAGACTGGAGAGGCTGTCAGATCTCAGTTGGACCGGCCCAACCAGTCTGGTCCGAGTGTTAAAACAATGGTGATTGAGAGTTAATTATCATGGGAACTCGGTAAATGGTGTATTCATTTTAATTACCCAATACACAGAATATGCTTAAACAAATACTATCTCTTGAATTCATTCCAATTATATATGAATCTGACGAATGAAAATGGTCTAAAATTCATTCCAAATACATAAATCAAACGAATGAAAGTGGTCAAGTGAAAAAAGTCCATTGAATATTACAAACCAGCCCAGTATGGTTCAACTTGGAGTAGTGGCTTGATTCATCTGCAAATTTATTCTCATTTTTTATTTTTTTGCGCCCAATACAACTAAAAAGTCGGATTCTAGTTCCTGGACCAGTATAAAAACTATAAATGAAGCAAAAATATACACATAAAAAAGAGACTTTTGCTTTTGGCTACTTTCTTTCTTTCTTTCTTTGTCTTTCAACTCCCAAAATGACCTTTCAATTAACTTGCTCACCACTTGCTAGACGTCTCTTCTCTTCTTCAACTTGTTCGAGCAATACTTCCAGCTCTGCTTCTGTCAAGCCCTCCAACCGCTTCTGCCAAAACCAGAATTTTTCCAAAATCAGTGTTGGGGAAACTTTTATGATGCAAGGTAGAACTCGAAACAATCTGAGTGACAGTAGGAATAAATAAGAATAATATTTACACTAATTTCATGAGTTCAAAAGGGAAGAACATTGGTGAAAAATACTTTCTAATTTCTATTTATGACGATAGATAAAGAGTTTGAATGTTCTATATAATGTTCAAAGAAGTGAAGCATGGTCAAAATGATTCCGATACAACTGCTTCACATCTAAAGATCAAATTTGATGCAAGTTAATATTTTTCAAAACGATACTCATGAACACTTTTAGCAAGCAAGAAGTGCCACATATCATTGAAATTAAAGCTAAAAAGAGGGTCTAAATCAACTAAACCTCCATGACTTTGTTTTCGTAGTCGCGTAATTGTTGAGCATAAGTCATTTCCTTGTTTGATACTCTAAAGATATATGTTGAAACCCAACCAAGTGTAAGCCCCAAAACTATTACCAACTCAACAACATTCCCAGCTTGCAATGAATCTACTCCAACAAACTGCACAGCAAACCAGAAAGATAAAGCAAATTTCCCATTCGTGAATTCGCGATATATAAAAGATGCTCCTTGCCTTCCTGAATGTGTCACCAGATCAAATGTACGTACTCATGGAAATGAAAGAATTACAAAGTACCTCTAATCCACTTTTTAAGCCATATCCAATGGCAGTAATTCCAAGTCCAATCAATAAAACATCCTTCCTTGAGTACCCAAAAGGTGTCTGCAGTAGCACAATGAAAGATATGAAATTCCAGAAAATTATAAGTCAAAGATTGAAACCATCGCATTCACTTATATTTAGCTCATACATGCCTTGTTTTGACCAGAAGATTCATCTTTGCTGCTGTTAGAGTCTGATGAATTGCTACTACTTCTAGGGATAGTAAGCCTCACTCTGTTTGACATTATGTCGCCGAATCGTTTTCTTGGGAAATTGTAATTTTCTTTTCTATATAAACTCTGGGAAACAACTCTTCCTAATAAATTAGAATAACAGAAATCATGTCAGATAAATAGCATTGTCATATTAAACAAGATAATTCAATGATACTGTAAATTCTACCTTTCATTATCAAGGGTCATCTAAAAAATACAAAACCTGTTGCGATGATGAATCATGTAAGAATCATTACAGTGGGTATACACAGAATATTTAAACAAGTTTTCAATGGATTCATGGTGCAAAGAAACCACAAATAACATTTTAAATCATCAGCACAAATAACACCAAACATAGAAATAAACCTGATAAAATATCAACAGGGCAAGAACAGCATTTCCATTTCTATAGTTAAACTCAAGTATAGGGATTTTCATAATACCCTATTAAATTTTAATTAAAAGAAAAAAAAAAAAAAAAAAACTTAATTGGAAGTGGGTTGTTCTAAAAATTTGCACTTGGAGATGAAATGTAAAACTGACCTCTCATATGCAGCAAGGGTGGAAGACGTGGAAGGGAAACACCATGAAAAGAACTAGTTGGAATTTTACATAAACCGCTGAAGTTTTGAAGAGAGACCATGGCTGCACTGCACTCTTCTTGGGAAGAAAAGAAATGGAAAAATTAATAAAAAGAACTTTAAAATTAAAATTAAATGAAAAAAAAAAAAAAAAGTGTTCTTGTGCAAAGAGAACCTGGATGAGGAAGCAGTGTATGGTGGGCAGTTAAAGCTCTCTGGATATTAAATCTCAGTTTGGAAGTTATGCACGTGATTTGCACATGAGCTATTAAAATTTTAATTGGACTACAACTTTTATAGTTTGTTACACCGACCTCCCCTCATATTTAGTTTCATTTTAAATACACCCCCTGTATCTGAACTATAGCTCCCCCTTTCCTTACGAGAGTTTTAGAATTAAACTAATTTTTTTAATTGGTCCTAAAGAAAATGGCAAAGTTTTAATATAATATTGAAAATAGGTCGAAGGACTTTCACCTACCCAAAGTTTGGCATAAAGACAGATTGATATCCAAAAAGTTTAANACGTGGAAGGGAAACACCATGAAAAGAACTAGTTGGAATTTTACATAAACCGCTGAAGTTTTGAAGAGAGACCATGGCTGCACTGCACTCTTCTTGGGAAGAAAAGAAATGGAAAAATTAATAAAAAGAACTTTAAAATTAAAATTAAATGAAAAAAAAAAAAAAAAAGTGTTCTTGTGCAAAGAGAACCTGGATGAGGAAGCAGTGTATGGTGGGCAGTTAAAGCTCTCTGGATATTAAATCTCAGTTTGGAAGTTATGCACGTGATTTGCACATGAGCTATTAAAATTTTAATTGGACTACAACTTTTATAGTTTGTTACACCGACCTCCCCTCATATTTAGTTTCATTTTAAATACACCCCCTGTATCTGAACTATAGCTCCCCCTTTCCTTACGAGAGTTTTAGAATTAAACTAATTTTTTTAATCGGTCCTAAAGAAAATGGCAAAGTTTTAATATAATATTGAAAATAGGCCGAAGGACTTTCACCTACCCAAAGTTTGGCATAAAGACAGATTGATATCCAAAAAGTTAAAAAATGACAAACAAATACTTTCTGTCATATTCTGTTAGAGATTCTGTCTACTAAAAGACAATATAGTAATTCCATTCTCATCCTAAGCCCGTTTGCACAACCCTCTTGCATCATCGATCGATTTTTTTTTTACAGGATTTAGCATTTTTTTGCAAAGTTCGGTGATAAACAGTACCCTTACTGGTAAGCATTGGGAATAGAGATCGATGGGTATTTCAGTCTTTTTATCATTTTTGTCTTTTAGCAGATAGAAATTCCTAATAAAACATGACGAAAAGTGGGTGTTTGTCATTTCCAAACTTTTTGGATAATATTTTGTCTTTGCATCAAACTTTGGGTATGTGTAAGCAGTGTTTTAAAACCCAACCTGGGGTGAAACCTGGCAAAGTTTCTAGGTCCCGGGTTGACTGGTTTAACCGATTTGACCGTTGGTCAAATCGGTTGACAAAAACTTTTAAATTCATTCAAATATGCCCCTAAAAATTACATTTAAGTCCCATATGTTTGAACTTTATCAAACGCACCCCAAATACAAATCGACCGGCCACTGATTGGCGGCGGCAGCACCGCAGATGCAACCCCAATCGTCCCTTGAGCTCATTTCCATTAAAATCTATCCAATATCTGGCCGAAATAGGTTCGATTTCAGCCAGATCTCACCGACGTTGGCGTTGGCATTCCAAGCCAGATCTCATCCACGCCGGCGTCGACAACCCTCCCCATCATCCAGAAAACACTCTCCTATTCCTCTCAACCAAAACCCAGCTCACCCTACCCCCGTTAGCCTCGCCAATCGCTGGCAAAATTCCATTGTTGCCGCTGCTATATTTATTTGATTTCCGATCGATTTACTCACCGGAAATCAACGCCGTCACCACCATTACATTCAGTGCCACTTAGTCTTCAAAAGCCCCAACCTTTCGGCCGTTGATTGTTCGTCGATCATCCTCCCAAATCTTAGGGTTTTGGGGTGAATCGAAAAAGTTAAACCCGACCCATTGAAGCCTCCAAGTCCCAATAAAACCAGTCGAGCCGGGCCGAGTTTTAAAATACTGTGTGTAAGTCGTTCCACCTTGAAAATATGGTTTAAAAATGAGATGAATACGTGTCATTACAATAAAGAGAAAATGAGAGAGGGAGTGAAAGGGAATTTTATTATAATTTTGTTTCTTTTAACATGCCCTCAGTGTCTAGATAATTACTGTAGACCCTACAGGTTCCACATAAATATATTTTATCCCACAATTTAAATGTAAACCCACAAAAGAGAAAAGACTGGGCCAGTTTGAAACCCTAGATAATCCACAAACGGCGCTACTCAAATGGCCTCCAAAACCTTTCTTCGTCGTTGTTCTTCTTCTTCTGAAACGGTTACGAAAACCAAACTCTCATCTTTATTCACAAAACCAGGTAAAGTGACTACAACTACACCACAAGATTCAGTACATAACGTTGAAGAAGTAGCGAGGCTTGATAAATTCCTTAAAAAGGATTGCAAAGAAGGTAATATCACTCTTGATGAAGCACATTATTTCTTTTCTTTAATGATTCATATGCAACCCAAACCTCCAATTTCATCATTCAACCGGTTGTTTGGAGGTCTTTCTAAGAAGAAGTTTTATGAAGACGTCATTTCGCTTTACAAGAGAGTGGGTTCAATGGGGTTGTTGCCAGATTTAATTACTTTGAGTATTTTGATTAATTGTTTTTGTAATGTGGGTCGAGTTTGTGATGGTTTTGTTGTTTTTGGGAGGATTTTGAGGTGCGGTTTTTACCCAGATGCTGTGATTTTTAGTTCTTTGATTAAAGGTTTGCTTTTGGAGAATAGGGGTATGGAGGCTATGAGGTTCTTCAAGAAAATGGCTGTGTTTGGTGTTAGGCCTAACGTGATTACGTATGGGACTTTGATTAACGGGTTGTGCCAGACAGGGAACACGAGTATTGCGCTTAGGATACACGAAGAAATGGTTGCTAGTAATGGTGAAAGAGGGTTTATTTGTAAGCCTAATATTGTTTGTTATGGTAGTATTATTGATGGTCTTTGTAAAGATGGGTTGGTAGATAAGGCGAAAGAATTGTTTCTGGAAATGAAGAGTAGAGGAATTAAGCCAAATGTGGTTGTTTGTACCTCTCTAATTTACGGTTGGTGTTTTGTGGGAAATTTGGAGGAGGCTAAAGGCTTACTTATTGAGATGGTGGATCAAGGTCTGCAGCCTGATTTACTGACGTATAATACAATGATAAGTGGGTTTTGCAAGGAAGGGAAGATAGAGGAAGCTAATCGATTGTTGGAATTGATGATCCAAGGAGATTTGCAACCAGACACATATATTTATAGTACTTTGATGGATGGTTATTGCTTGCTGCATAGATTTGATGATGCAAGGGAGCTGCTAATCTCTATGGAGACTAAGGGTTGTAAGCCTAACATTGTCAGTTATAGTACTTTGATCAATGCCTATGGCAAGAATAGGAAATTAGAGGATGCTATGAGTCTTTTCAAGGAAATGCTTTCGAAGGGAATTAGTCCAACAGTTGTTACATATAACGTTTTGCTTACTAGTCTTTTTCTGTCAAATAAGGTTGGAACTGCACGGAAACTATTTAATGAGATGAAACTTCATAATGTTGCACCTAATCTAGGTACATATACAATTTTGATTGAAGGGCTATGTAAGAATGGCTGTGTTCTGGAGGCAGCAAAATGGTTACGTGCTTTGGAGTACTATGAGTTTAAACTTAATATTGAAATCTATTGCAGCCTCATTGATGGGTTGTGTAAAAAGGGAATGCTTGATATTGCTTTGGAGTTATTTCACAAATTGCCTCAAAAAGGCCTAATGCCAACTGTTGTGACATATAACATCTTAATCCATGGGTTTTGTAAAGAAGCGAAACTACAAAAGGCATATGATTTTTTATTTGATATGGAAAAAAGGGGTTGTGCTCCAGATGTTGTTACATTCAATACTCTTATGCAAGGCTTTTTACAAAATAATGAGACAGCTAAAGTGGTTGAACTTCTTCACCAAATGAATGACAGAAATGTGATACCAAATGATACCACATTTTCCGTAGTTGTGGATTTACTGTCAAAGGATAAAGAACTTTTGAAGTTGCTTCCTCAATTTCCTCCGCAAAAGTCAACAAGAGGCTGACATGATAAATATTGCTGCACTTGACTATAAAACCCATCTTCAATGCTGTGAATGTCTGTAAGTTTATGCTACAAGTGATAGTATTTTCTCTTTCTATTGTCTATATAGCATCCTTTGATGACAAATCTTCACGTATTTAATCCTTTATATTATTTGTAAGTTTTTTTTGCTTATTTCAATTTGTTGTTTCTCACCTGAATTCTGCTTCCTCTAGTTATTTTAAACTCTTTGCAATTTTGTACTAGGAACTTAATAAGAGTATTGTGTGGAAACTAATTAAAGTTGAATAAGGTTGATTTGAGTCTTTTTGCTTATTTCAGTATTGAATTTGGTCTAATCCATAATTAGGTTGGATTGCATTTTACAAACTAAATTTATTGAGTTTTCTTTGTCATAAACTGACTATGAAAAAGCTCTTTCTCTCTTACATTTTCACTCTTTAACTTATGAATATTCTCCAAAAGCACCCTTTTGTTCTTAAAAGCACTTCCCTTGACCTCCAAGTAGAGCTTATGGTGCAAGTGCTTATCAATCTTTTGGAGCTCCCTGTACTTGAAAAGCAATTTCCTAAGCACTCTCATTCTCCTCACCCACAAAACCTTTGATGGAAGCCTTGCTTCTTTTGTCCCCTTCCTCTTCCCATATCCTGAATGCCTCCCTTTTCTCTTTGCTTCATGGGCTTGCTTTGTTCTTGATCTTGAGTGGACAGTGCTAGGCTTTTTCACTATCAATCCATCCTTTACCAGCTTTCTTATGTCCATTCCTGCAAGTGCAAGTTTTCTTTTATCTTTAAACGTAAAACATAACAACTATTATGATGTATATATATAACAATTAAGACTTACTAGAAATGGATAAGGAGATGTGACTGGCCTCACTAGGATCAAGCCACACTTTCCCCTTACCACACTTGAGAAGACTTGCAGCCAGCCTTTTCTGAAGCTTTAAACACACCATTTTCAATTTTAATTTGTTTTGCAATAGAAATTATTACAATGGTGAAACGCAAATGTTCTGGATTTATAGCTAAATTTACTTGATGCAAAAGCAAACTTTGCACCTTATTCTATAATTTAATTTTTATTAGGCTGAATGAGCTTAGTAATTTTACATGATTGTATTATTGAGAGCCTTTAGTTGACTAAGATTCAATACAGTACTATAGTGTTAATTTTATTTAATATGGAATACTTAAAATATTGGATATCTATGCTTGGGAAACAAGTGAAAGTTGTTTTCTTTTCTTGGGGACAAAGTAGGGTGATTAAAATTAATACATTCAATCAAAAGTTCATTGTGTCTTTGTCTTTTATACTTCCTTATGTGAGCATATATGATGTGAGTCAAAAGGCTCTGCATATAGTCCCGGAGAATTGTATGTGTTTGTAAAAATCTGTTGATAATGAAAAGTTATACGGAAAATGCTACGGACATCGAACGATATGTCCACTGAATTAGACGAACAATGTATCACGTTAACAAATATTTCGCGAATGAACGGTCGTCCATCAAATATGGACGATCATCTATTGTTATTGGACGGCTGTTCATTTGAAATGGACGACTATCCATATAACGGTCGTCCACCTAGAATGGAACGTCTGTTCATAGTTTAAACTTAAAAAATTTGGCATAAATTGTTTATGGACGCCCATCCTCTTATTAGGACGATTGTCCATAGTTATGGACGTTTGTCCATCTTTTAATATTAACAAATTTTAAATTTATTTAATGCATTAATTGTCCAAAAGTTGTCAAAAGTTATTTAATACATTAATTTATTTAATTGGGCATCCATCTTATGGACAAAAATTTAATGAAACTTGTCCAATTACTCAAAAGTTAAATGACAAAAATTTAATGAATATGAATAATAGATAGACATCCATCTAAAAGGGATGACTGTCCATTGAATGCAAATTTCTTTTAAATTATTTGGACGGACGCCTATCTATAATAAATTAAATTTTTTTTTTAAATTATTTGGACGGACGCCTATCTATAATAAATCTGATTCATGTAAAGACCAAGGGCTCTTTGCACTCGTCTCTAATACCGTCCAGTCCATGAGGACATAGATTCCGACATCGATTCACATACAGTTTCATCGTAATGTTAAATTCACTGTTTAAGTAACGGACACCATTTTTAATTGAATGTATTAATATGTTTCTTTCATTAAAATTTGGTCATTGAATTTTGGAGGTTATTCAGTCTCTAAGATACTTTTCGACAAGGGTGAAAGTTGTCTTTAGGACAATACTACTTGGAAGTTTGGTCGGTAAAGAGGATGGACGAAGTTGTAATAAAATAAAGCAAATGTGCTTTAAAAATAAGATGAATACGTGTCATTATCATGGTTGTTAGTATCCTACGATATTCGATATGTATCATACGATACGATTCGATACAGGTCGCTAACGATACGTATCAAAAGTGTATCTTAAACTTTTCGATACGTTGATATGTATCCTACGATATGATACGTATCCGTTCATATCCTTAAAAATATTAATATAGATCGATACAACTTTATTAATTTGGGCTAAAGGCCCAAAAAAAAAATCGGGTCGAAACCGGGTCACCCAACCCGATTCACTAAAACCTGTCTAAATTTACCCATTTTGCATGGAGAAAATGAAGAGGAATACGTGTTACCCATTTTACATGATAATAATAATATAAGTGGAGATATCATTGATCCTGGAAATGATATGAATAGTTGAGAGAAAATAATATAAATTTTTAATTTTGTGATTAATTTTGATTATGTAATACCATAATTTAAAGTCAATAATACCACAAAATTCTTTAATTAATCTTGGGAATGATATTAATTTTTTTAAAATTTTGATTATTTTATTAATTTTTTTGAAAAAAGTGTATCCTAAGATACGATACGATACGATATGCGATATACGATTCAAAAAATTAGGCTTTCGATACATGATATAATACCCGATTTAACAACCATGGTCATTATATTAAAGAGAGAATGAAAGAGGGAGTGATAAAATTTTATTATAATTTTGCTTGTTTTAACATGCCCGTGGTGTCTGGATAATAACATGTGAACCCTACAGGTTTCACATAAATACATTTTATCCCACTCTCAAATCTCAATCATTTCCGATGAGATTGTGTTATTGTTATTATGTAAACCTACAAAAGACTATGCCAGTTCGAACCCGAGATCATCCACAAACGGCACTACTCAAATGGCGTACAAAACCTTTCTTCGGCGTTTTTCTTCTTCTTCTGAAACGGTTACGAAAACCAAACTCTCATCTTCATTCACAAATTCATGTAAAGTGACTACAACTGTACCACAAGATTCAGTACATAACGTTGAAGAGGTAGCGAGGCTTGATCAATTCCTTCAAAAAAATTGTAAACAAGGTAATATCACTCTTGATGAAGCACGCTATTTCTTTCGTTTAATGATTCATATGCAACCCAAACCACCAATTTTATCATTCAACCGGTTGTTTGGAGCTCTTGCTAAGAAGAAGTTTTATGAAGACGTCATTTCGCTTTACAAGCGAGTGTGTTCAATTGGGTTGTTGCCGGATCTTTTTACTTTGAATATTTTGATTAATTGCTGTTGTAATGTGGGTCGAGTTTGTGATGGTTTTGTTGTTTTTGGGAGGATTGTGAGGTGGGGTTTTAACCCAGATGCCGTGACTTTTAATTCTTTGATTAAAGGTTTGTGTTTGGAGAATAGGAGTTTGGACGCTATGAGGTTGTTCAAAAAAATGGCTGTGTTTGGGGTTAGGCCTGATATTGTTTCTTATGGTAGTATTATCGATGGTGTTTGCAAAGATGGGTTGGTTGATAGGGCCAAAGAAGTTTTTTTGGAAATGAAGAGTAGAGGAATTAAGCCAAATGTGGTCGTTTGTACCTCTCTAATTTACGGTTTGTGTTTTGTGGGAAATTTGGAGGAGGCTGTAGTTGTTTGTTTACTGAGATGGCGGATCAAGGTTTGCAGCCTAATGTGCTACATATAATACATTATAAGGGTTTTGCAAGGAGGGAAAGATAGAGGAAGCTAATGGATTGTTAGAATTGATGATCCAAAGAGGTTTGCAACCAGACATATTTATTTATAGTACTTGATGGAGGTTATTGCTTGCTGCATGAGTTGATGATGCAAGGGAGCTGCTAATCTCTATGGAGACTAAGGGCTGTAAGCCTAACGTTGTCAGTTATAGTATTTGATCCATGCCAAGGCAAGAATAGGAAATTAGAGAATGCTATGAGTCTTTCAGGGAAAGATTTCAAAGAAAATTAGACCGGCAGTATTTACATCAACGCTTTGTTGACTGGTCTTTTTCTATCAAATAAGGTGGAGCTGCACAGAAAACTATTGCTGAGATGAAAATTTATAATGTCGCACCTGATTCATTTACATATAATATTTTGATTGATGGGCTATGCAAGAATGGCCGTGTTCTGGAGGCAGCAAAATGGTTTCGTACTTTGGAGTACTATGAGTTTAAACTTAGTATTGAAATCTATAGCAGCCTCATTGATGGGTTGTGTGAAAATGGAATGATCGAATGCTGGGAGATATTTGACAAATTGCCTCAAAAAGGCCTAAAGCCAGACGTTATGACATATACCATCTTAATCAATGGGTTTTGTAAAGAGGGAAAACTACGAAAGGATATGATTGTGATTTGATATGGAAAAAAAGGGTTGTGCTCCAAATGTCTTTACATTCAATAATCTATGCGAGGTTTTTTGCAAAATAATGAGGCAGCTAAAGTGGTTGAACTTCTTCACAAAATGAAGGACAGAAATGTGATACCAAATGATCACATTTTCTAGTTGTGGATTTACTGTCAAAGGATAAAGAACTTTTGAAGTTGCTTCCTCAATTTCCCGCAAAAGTCAACAAGAGGCTGACATGATGAATATTGCTGTGCTTGACTATAAAAACCATCTTCAATGCTGTGAATGTCTGTAAATTTATACTACAAGTGATAGTATTTTCTCTTTCTTTTCTATATAGCACCTCTTGATCATAAATCTTCACGCATTTAATCCTTTATATTATTGTAAGTTTTTTTGCTTATTTCAATTTGTTTTCTCACTGAATTCTGCTTCCTCTAGTTATTTTAAACTCTTTGCAGTTAGTTCTGGATATATGAGAGTATACTGTCTGAGGCCAAGATGACACTTGATAGTTAGGATATTTATGATTAGATGAACTTTTTATAGTTTTGTATCCCAATTTTGTACTAGGAACTTAAAAGAATATTGTGTGGAAACTAATTAAAGTAAAAATTGAATTTCATCTAATCCTTAATTAGGTTGGATTGCATTTAATACAATTTATCTAACAATGTTGTTCTTGGATTCAATTCTATTGAATATGTGGTAAAATTCTATCTTTTCTCAACCCCATTGATATTTGTCATCTTTGTTATGATTGGACGAAAATTTGTTCTGGGTACGTTGTTAGATGTTTAGGATTGTAAACCCTTGACAATTTTTTTTCATTATGCGATTTTTCCATCCAAGGGTGGGGTTTTAACTATGCCAAAGTTTGGGTATGTCCATGAAATTTGGAGATACGTTCATGTGGTAATTGTAAGGATAAAAGTTATAATATATATGCACTTTATTTTGTGAGAGTGATAAGCAACTTTGGTTCTGAGATTTTATAGATTTTTTTTTCATTTTTATTTTTTTTTGGAAGTTCAAGTTCTTGTTTCATCTGCATTAGCCTATGATGAATTATGGTGTTATCAGAATGGTGCAGCACCTTTTTTGGGTGCATGTGGGTCGGGTCGCAAATCGAATCAAAGTGGGTAAATTTGTAGATGGGACCAAGTGCACTTTGCCAATCAACAAGCAGCCGAACAGTCTCCATGTATGATTTTGCTTGAGTGTGGTAGATTTTTCATTTTCTAATTGATTGTGCGAGAATCTCGTGTTGTTTAGGTCAGTCCTATCAAAACTGTTGTAGTCCAGCTAAAGCTTTGTTGTTGATTTGAGTGGATTGTGCTAGGCTTTTTCACATCAATTCATCCTTTACCAGCCAGCCTTCTTATGTCCATTCCTGCAAGTGCACGTTTTCATTTAGCATCAAACCTAAAATATAACAAGTGTTATGATGTATATATAAACAATTAAGACTTACTGGAAACAGAAGAGATGTGATTGGCCTCATTAGGATAATGCCACACCTCCTGTACCACACTTGAGAGAACTCTTGCAGCCGCCTTTTCTGAAGCTTTAAACACACCCCTTTTTAATTTTAATTTGACCAAAGCACTTCCTGGTAACAGGTTTGTTTTCTTGAGTGAAGAACTGAATGTCACTGCGAGTTACCCGAATAAATAATGCTACTAGTGATGTTGCTTATGTGGTGTTGGTGCTAGTGAAGTTGATTCTGAGTTGTGTGCTGCTGATTAATTAGTTAGTTTAAAGGAATTATGTGAAGTAATGTTGATGTGTAGTGCTGATTTTTATGTGAAGTGATGTTGATGTTGATTTTGTTTAGGTGAAGTATTGTTGGTGCTGATGAAGGCTGACTCTGGTAATGTGGTGGGGTGTTAATATGTAGTGCAGAATGATGAGAAGTGATGTTAATGTTGTAGTGTTGGTGTTATTGAAGTAATAGTCTGTAGTAAAAGAATATGATCATAAAAAGAACAGAGGTCTTGTAGTATGACAAAGGCAGAGAGCAGAGTAAAGTCTGTTAATTGAAGACGTTTTGTTTTAAGGGGAAATATTGAACATATAAGCTACTTGGGTTTAAGTGTAAGAATTAGAAGACTTGTAAAAAAAACGGTGCGTTTTGTTCGTTTAACAACTATACAAAACATAGCCCGCCTATTCTAATGTCATTGATAAAATTCCCAAATATTTTTGCGATCTCTCTCTCTCTCTCTCTCTCATTACTTTTGCTTTCTTGTATCTGTGAAGTTCTTCATGGTATCAGATACTATAAACAAAATATGTTTATTTGTTCACTTTAAATGTGCATAAATAATATAGTTTTACTAAATGATACTTCCATTATATATATAAGTCAATAATATGCATACATTATTCATGTAATGGAGGTTTTTAACCTAAAAATAACCTATATAATATGCATACATTAACTTATGGTACAGTCGATTACATCGTAGACTTTTTTCTACTATTTTGATACATATTCTTACCTTATATACTATATTAGTAATACTACACTAACAATCATTTTTCACAAATTTTCTCTCACAACTCTAACGTAACATCTTGTAATTAGTCAGTTTACAATTAATTAGTGGGACCTATGCGGGACTCATGTGGGATCCTTTATGAACTGAATAATTGCGAGTTGTCACGTCAGGGTTGTGAGAGAGGGTTGTTGGTGACTTGGTGTATTATTATTCATATCATATATGAGTAATTTTATATTTACGTATTAAAGATTCTAGTTTTGGATGTCGATTGATTTGATTGTTTATATATTCTCGTATCGTCACCGTTGTCAACAACTAGGATAAGTAGAATTCAAAATTTAAAGATATATAATATTAAGTCAATAATCTTGTTTGTATAGTCAAATGATCAACTATAAATCTCCATTCCATATTGGCAAAAGGTTGGAGAGCATAACTAACACTGTCTAGATATATAAATATTTTTTCCCATTTCTGGAGATCACCATGGATTTTCTTTTGGCGTGCGAACTGCAGGAGTTCAGGTGAGGCCAGCTTTTTGATCATGCAGGTAATGTTGTTGTTTATTATTTATTATAAATACATTACATGGATAAACGTAAACAAAATAATTTTTAAGAGTTATTTATTATTTATTATAAATACATAATTTAGATAAAAGCAGAGGATCAGTTAACTTTCAGAAAGCATAAATCTTGAAACACTCTTTTAAGGTGCTTATGTTTTACAAACAGGTGGAGGATTATGTGCTTGGGTTGGAAAACTGGTGAAACTAGAAATTCAGTTTGGTTTGTGAAAGCACAAGCTCAAGGTAAAAAAATAGCAGAACAGTTACATATAAGTTGAAGTCTTTTATTCATTTAAACTGTTATCATTTTTAATTAACCTAAATTGCATATGAAATTGATACATGCAGTAATTACTTGAAAGAAGTTTCATGTTATAGCTGTGTTTTTACCAAATGGACTATAACCATTCATTGCCTAGCAGTTGGTAGAGGAATAGAGAAATCTTTCCAGCCAGGATTTATTAACCATTACGAGAATAGGTACTCACATCATCATATTTAACTCAATAATGCAAGGAATTGTATGCTTTTACCTCTGTTTTGTATGCCCTGAGTATCACTTTTCTTAACCTATGTTTTAGAGACTATTTTAGCAGTGTCCTTTGCAAAAACACAGAGGAGGGTATTCCTAAAGAAGAGAACTTCTAAATCTATTTAATTTTGAGAGACCATAGAACATTAACCTTTTCACAGCTGACCTATTTATTCATTTTCTTTCAGTTTTTTTAAGCTAAACACAATGAACCATTCATTTCATTGTACCAACATAACAAAAGAAAAAAAAAAACTGGATGTATTATATAGTATTTATCTATACATCCACCCTTCTAGTTGGCATATTAATTGGTTCCCACCTCCAATCAACAACAACGATAATTGATTCAACAACAATTAATGTGGATGATAAACAATAGGAGAAAAAAAAACTAGAAACAAACAAACAAAAAATGAACTGACTGTTAAATCTCTCTTTGTTTAGGTAAAAGTTAAGCACACTTTGCCATAATCGGCAGTTTAGCGTTAAGCAAGACCATTAAAGTGATATGTAAATAAGATTATTGTGAATCATATTGAACCCTATGTGTATATATATAAGCAAAAAGGAAAGTGCAAGCACACAGAACGTGTATAAGAGAATTTAAGCATAGTCTGAATAGGTATGGCAGTAACTTTGAACAATGTGAATCAAACAACAGATGAAACCTTTAGCACCATGTCAATGATAAACAGATAACAGATGAGAATTTTGTTACTTAAAAACAATCAATCTCGTACCAGAAACATCAGCGCATATATATGCATTTTCTCTCACACTATAAAACTGCTTTTGGAGCTAAATCAGAAATTTAGAATATCAAAATAAAATATGCCTTGGTCAGGATTTTGTCATACCATTCGGTGCATGAATTTAGTACCCTACTTCAATGACGGTGTCATTACCGTTTGTATATAATTTACATTTTCAAACTATAATATTTGTATACACTACTTTAGTAATAAATAAGTATTGATCTATTAATAAGTTTAATTTAATTTAAACATTATATTATCAATCATTATTATTTAAAATACTTGAGTGAGCCAACAAAATGATCATTGATAAGAGAGAAAATCAAAATGTTTGTAAAAACAATTAAAAAGGGATAAAAAGTTTGTTAAAAGACAAAAATAGGGCACATAACAAAAAGTATCTAACCTTTTAATTTAATTTAGGGTATAAATGTAAATCTATTTTATTATATAACCTAAAATTTTGCTTAAAAGAAAATTGATTATTCTAATTCCAATTGGATGACATTTGACCAATGGCATCATTTTACATATTGGTACTATTGGAGAATAATAGTTATAGTAACAAATTGTAGTTACAGTTAACTTAGTTTAGTTTGTTACAGTAAACTAGAGTAGTTACATTGACTATAGTTAATTAGTTG